TTGACATTATCATTATCACTTGATTTGTTTGCCTATGATTCACATGTTTTATTTTTGGAGTTCACCTATATCTCAAAGTCCATGCCACTGTTGGATTATTGATAAAGGTGAAGATTTAGAAGAGGATAAAGGATTGGGTGCGCTGCCATCAGCAGATGTTATGTTAAACATGAAGGCATGCACACATTCGAATCCACGTGCATTGTCTTATCTCATATTCAGATGATCAAACATGACAGTTGTTGAAACATGACAGTTGTTGGAAGGAAGCCAACAGCATGAACTTGACCTCGCTTTTGCTTGAGTAGGCATGCGGAAATGTCATTGCTTAAAGCTCCAGTCCGTAGCTTTTTTAAGTTAAAGATAATCCAAAATAATTATATTAAAAAAAACTTATTCTGCCAGTGGTCAAAACTATCTGCTTGCCATAGCTAGATTCAAAACGGTTAGCTTGTAATAATGATTTTAATTCCAGTGGTACTGGTGGGTTTCCGCGGGAAATTCGAGCATGTCTTTGCGTCATTACGTCACACCCGTACACATAAAGAAGGAGTTTCGGCTAGCCGGCTATACTGCGCGTGACGAGATGTTTAGATGTATAGGCTTTTCTCGCAGCACTTTACATAATTAAACTTATGGCATCCAGAAAGATCCAAACAACAATCATCAGTGTCAACTGGAGATTCAGCAGTTATAAAACCCAAAAGACTTCGTACTTCGGATTTAAGGTGGCTAGAGAAAGAGAAAGAAACCGTCTCATGCGAACACAAGGATTTAAACATCGGCGGGGCTTTTGAAAAGTGTGTGAACTCCGTGTTTTGAAGGGATTCAAAACGGAAGAAGAGACGGCTTTTTTCTGCTGAACAAGTAAGACATTTCAATAGTTCAATCGTGTAACAGTACGTTTTCTTAATTCACACAGTTATGGAGTTTCCTTTGTTGTGCCTTTCTCGTTTTGCTATTATGGAGAATATGAATTCTGAACTACACAGGTAACCATAAAACATTAAATTTAACATTAGTCACGCAATGCTGATGTTGTTAACATGAACAATTTGAGAACAAAGTAGGCTATAATTTGCACGGTTGCTGTAAATCGCGTTGATTAAATCTAACGAAGCTTATCATGTCGAATGCTTTTTCCCCCTTAGTTGGTCAGAACAAAAATGGATGTTACTTACTTGTTCAGAAGACATTTTCTTATGAAAATTGTTGGTCAAACTTTCAAAAAGTGAATCTGTGATTCTATGCCAGTATCCACACAGCGCGGTGACTGACAGCAGCACTCGCCTCAAAGCACTGTGTTCATCCGCGCTGTTTCATGACGATTTACAACGCACGTAAAGATGATAATTCCGCGAATCACTGCAGTTACAGATTTCAAACAGAGAGATGGCGACAAAGAGGAAAAGCTACGGACTGCAGCTTTAAACATTAGACATGTTCATTTTTTATGTGCATTTTATTTTTAGCATTTCTCATTGGTGCAGTTTGCATTTTGAATGTCTTGTTTTCTCTGTCTATGAGGAAAAATCAATTAAACCTTGTGGTGTTTTTAAGTTAGTATCCAAATTCAGACATTTTTTAAGTTTTAAACACATTGATAGAGTTTTTCTATAGCTGTTACACTTGTATTCTGCAATAAATATTTCCAATAAAAAAAAAATTCCTTCTAAAAAACGTCCTCATATTTTAAAATGAACAATCAAGCATGAGTAATGAGTCATGACTAATTACAGTGTTATGTTTTGCAACAGGTTTTCCACTTTCGTAGAAAACCTGAAAACATCAGGTTATTTTTAAAGTGATTTGCAGGCCTGTAAATATCATGAAAAATAATAAAGTAAATAAAATCATGGAAAATTCTAAAGCAAATATCGGTGTCCTATACATTGTAATTCTGCAATTAAGTACTGAGTGATATTAATGAACGAACGGGTTAGGATTTGATTTAGAGTTAGTTGCTTGTAAGTTACAGTATGCACAATTTACTGTTAATATTTTAATACAATGTAACAAGGACAAGGGTTAATAATGTAACATGTATAACAAAAACACAAAAATAAATTGTTACCCAAATATATATATATATATATATATATATATATATTCTTTAGTTATATTTGTATTTTAATGGCTAGATCACCAAAAAATAAGAATTCTGTCATCATTTACTCACCCTCAATTTGTTCTAAACCAGTATGAGTTTCTTTGTTCCATTGAACACAAAATAAGATGTTTTGAAGAATGTGGTTAACCAAACAGTTGATGGATCCCATTGATTTCCACAGTATGAAAATAAAAATGCTATGGAAGTCGATGGGGACAAGAAAGGTTAACCACATTCTTCCATATATCTTCGAAACACAGAAACTCATACTGGTTTAGAACAACTTGGGTGAGTAAATGACGACAGAATTTTTTAATTTTGTGCGAACTATCCTTTTAAAAGGTTTGAAATATCTCTATAAATTTTTTTTTTTTTTTTTTTTAAATCCAGTAATCATGGAAAATGGTTACTCCTTTTAAGTTTAGTAAAAGTTTTATTGGACAAAGAAGGTATAGTACCTTGGCAAGCTAAGTGCCATTTTCTAAAAACCACTGAGAAAATGAAAGACTGTTCTTCCACTGAGTGCTCATTCCACATGAGGAGAGGAGGAGGAGTCAGTAACCTGACACTCATTCTATATGCTCACTATAGGGCCGTTACATAAGTGAACCCTCTGAACCGCTGGCACTTCTCGTGAAACTTCTGGGAACTCTGATATTAGTGCGCAGGTGTTGATAGATATTTCCAGAAGAAACAGAGTGAAGCGCACTGACCAGGCAGAATGTCAAAGTACTTGAAAGTGTTTTATCTAGTAGAAAATGAGAACGTTTAGTGAACTGTGTCCCAATTAGTATTTTTTTTTAGAACGTTTTAAATGTCTAACAGTAGCTGAAAGAGTGACTAATATGCTATAGGGGTTCTTGGAGTCACTAACAAACCAATTTGAATTTTTTTTACGCACCGTTTGTGCTACAGAGATGAATGAAATCTCAAATCATGCAGTTTTTTTTAAGGAGGATGTTACTTTTAGATGCTGTGGACTTGGTGGATAATGCAATAGGTCTGGGGGGAAATACCCTGTTTGGCTTTAGATCAAAGTATACCCTAGTAAAAAATAAATATACTAAAATGTATTTGAAATACATTTATTTTAAGCTAATTATAAATGCAATTGTACTTTTTACTTAAAGTCTGCTAAATTGGAACAACTCATTTTGTATGTGAGATTGACAGCTAGCGGTTGGGGAGGCTTTTTAGGTCGGGTAGAATCTGCGATCTCTGACCCAGTTTGTTTGCTGGCTGTAATATGCCGTGCTTCCTGCCAACTGGCATCCTGGGGTGTCGAAATACTATTGGGTAAACTGGCAGTGGGGGAGATCACACAGACCAAAACAAAAACAGACATTCCGACACGGAACGCACATTTCAAAGTAAAATAACTGGCTGCGGAAGTGTTTTCCAGAGAAAAGAGTATGTGAACTCAGCATGTTTCCTAAATATCTGTAAACAAATTATGGTATTTTTGTTGCTTTAGTACAGTCAAAAACTTACATACAGCACCTTTAATACACTTCAGTTATCCGGAAGTAGTGTATATACTTAAAGTCCATCTATAGTCAATAATTTAATTAACCTATAGCCTATAGTCAATAAGGTCACTATAGACTTCTATAATTCAATGTTAGGCTACCGAGAACCGGGAACACTTCCCATAAATCCTGATGTACTTGTTACATCATAAGAAGGATGGCGTCTACGCTAATATTAGTCTCTCTGTTTATCCCAAGGTTTACCGCAGTCCGCCGTATCCAGGCCGTATCCAGATCTGATGAAGGACCTGCGTCTGGACACGACGACAACGCAGTCCTGAAGTGTTAACTAGTCCCTCCCCTGCGAAGGCCTCCCTCCTTTTACCTCTGTACAGATAATCGTTGTCGGGATAATTCCGGTTCACGTGGCTACGCCGAAGCGATACAATTTTGTATAATAAATTTCAAGGCCAGACAGGTGGTTTGTTGAGGGTTGTTTTTTTAGGCAAGGACTACATGCCTGCGCACATATATTCAAACACACATACCTATAGAATGAACTCTTAATAACGCATGTGCACGCCATCAGCGTTCTCACAGGTTTGAGTTTTTAAAGTTTGCGTAGAGAGAACTTAAAGGGATACTCTACTTTTTTTGCAAATAGGCTCATTTTAAAACTCCCCCAGAGTTAAACTGTTGAGTTTTACAGTTTTTGAATCCATTCAGCCGATCTCCGGTTCTGGCGGTACCACTTTTAGCATAGCTTAGCATACATCATTGAAGTGGACAAGACCATTAGCATTTCTCAAAAAAAAAATGACCAAAGAGTTTCGATATTATTCCTATTTAAAACTTGACTCTTCTGTAGTTACATCGTGCACTAAGACCGACGGAAAATGTAAAGTTGCGATTTTCTAGGCTGAAAATACTATTTTCAGGCGCTGCGTCAAATCATTACGCCCTGCTGCTCTCATGGTACGGCAGGAAAAATATCGAAACTTTTTGGTCATTTTTTTTTTAGAAATGCTAATGGTCTTGTCCACTTCAATGATGTATGCTAAGCTATGCTAAAAGTGGTACCGCCAGAACCGGAGATTGGCTGAATGGATTCAAAAACGGTAAAACTCAACATTTTAACTCTGGGGGAGTTGTAAAATGAGCCTACTTCCAAAAAAAGTGGAGTATCCCTTTAAGAGTTTTCTGTTAAAACGGTGTTGTGTTAGCGGCCCCTAAGCTAATAACTAATGATCGTTTGTGACGGAAGTGAATCAATTAAAACTAACTTTAGCTGGAAAATAACTTTATTCTAGAGCTGTCATAAAGCCCAAACAATCTCTGTTACTTTAATTTCCTATTATCACTGTAAAGCAGCTTTGGAAAAATCTACATTGTTAAAAGCGCTATATAAATGCAGATGACTTGACCCTTAAAACTCATCTTTGACCACCAAAAAGACATATTTAAAAGTTTTTTTCCTTAAAAAAATGATTCATGCCTTAAAATAGCTTGAATGTAACTACACCCTAGCATCATTTAGTTTACACAGTTCTATGAATATGCAAATGAGCCCTGCCTCCACTAACTCAGACCGGCTCAGAGATCCACTTGATCATGATCACGTTGTCGACTCGTGATTGGTTACAACAAGGTAGTTTGTGACGTCAGAAACACCAGCGATCTCAAACCAGGTTTTTGAGACTTTCTTTGGTTCACTGCAGTTTTAAAGAGAAAATACTCAGCAATGGTGTTGACATGAATTTGCACATGGTTTGTTTTAAATCATATTAAAAACACCACATAGACATATAAACAACGACAAAATCTCAATTTTCACCACAGGGGAACTTCAAGTATATTGCTAGTATACTTTAGGTACACTTCAAATATCTTGCATTTAAAAACTGACATTATACAGAGATCATACTATCCTTACTAATAGTGATATTAAAACACATTGTAGGCTTAATATTAAGAAATGTGCATTGTGCAATAAACTACTCCAAATAAAGTTTAATTATAATATTTATATCAGTAAGTCTCAAGCGCTATGTCAGTAAATATGTTAATGGATTTGTAGTATACTTAGTATGAAATAAATGTATTTTAAATACATTTTGCTATAGGTTTCACTAGGGTTGATCAATACAATAACATCTTTTTTTATTCAAATGTGGATGGGGGTGGTTAATAAATATTTAGGAGAATTTTACATCACAGAATGAAATGATAGAAATGTAAATGTGTTGTTAAAGTGTTACTGAATTATTTTGGAGGTGTTGTTGTGATGTCTGGAGTTACTGCAGTCTGCTATGATCCGCATTGGCTGGTTTCCATCTTTTAATACTCTGCTTGTAAACAAACAGAACTGGTTAGGGCTCAAAGGCTGATCCATGGGCTCGCTGCCACCACACTTGCAAAACCTTCCAATAAAACAGAGTAGGAAAAAAAAACATTATTATCAATCTGAGTTGTTTGTATGGGTTAATCTTAGGTAATGGTGTCATTTGTGTGCCACGTGTTCCCTTCACTGATTTACTTGAATGTAATTTTGAACAGCACACTGGTAAAAATTAAAATTAAGGAATTACATGTGCTTTAGTATGTTAGTCAACACATCAACATAAGTGTACTTCTTTAAAGCAAGACAAAAAGATGATTAAAATACAATTTAAAATGTACTTTAAGGACCTTTCATTTGACATTATTACAAAGTGCACTTTTTAAAAGTGTGCTTATGTGTGTTACGAAACAGTCATTTCAGTGGTCTTTTATTTCAGTAAAATAATATTATATGTAAGTACAGATCTTAAAAAAAAAAAATATTTTTTAAGATTTAAAGTACACTACTCGTGGATATTCAATACAATTAAACGCACTACTTTTCCTCAAGGGAGCCTTAGATGATAAGCTCTGCATTGAGTCTCTATGACCCATTTCTCCATCTAAAAGCTCAAATTTTGCTCCACATTGCTACACACTGATAAGACAGTGTGAACGATAAGGGTGAAAGTCAATGTTTATGCGTTTATTCATAGGCACACTGGGTTGATTAAGCACAGACCAGATTACAGTGACCTATTAGCTATTAGAGATACTAAGTGTATAGTGACCCTGTTTATCTTGTGCAAATATGGTGAGATTTCAAAGGGTTGTGGACTGTGTCTGCTTTACCTGGGCTAATAGCATGCTGTTAAAGGTGGCTGAGTGATCAGCTGACACTCTGTTCCTGATGCGTCTCTTTCTCCAGGTAAGCCAGGCTTTTTGCAGCACAGAGTGCTCATTCTGCACCATAAAGATAAGGAGAAAGTTAAAAAAAATATTTTGTCATGGTAATGTTCTCAAATTAAAGTAAAAACAAAGAGACTCTGGTTGTTGGAGGCTTGTGTTCTTGCTGGTTGCTTGCACGGGCTTGTGGGCCCTGGGCAAGAACATGGGCCCCACCAATACTGACAATATTAGAACATAGCCACTACAAACGTTACAATTACACTGAAAAAGAAATCACTAAAACTAAGCACACAGTACATAGTTTGTTGACAAATAACATGTCCACTTTTTGCTGCAGGGATGGCGTATTTTAGGCTAAATTCCTGCATGAGTTAGCATTTTAGCATCTCCGGTTTCTGGCATTTTAGCCTTTTCTATGGGTTTTTGGTTAAATGTCTAAGATATTTAGATACCTCAAGATATGTTCACATTTATTCTATGTTATAACACAGCGAAAAGCCTTGTGATTTTTTAAAACGTCTTTACTTCGCTTGAAAAAGGTGGTTGCTAACAAGTGGCTAAATGGGACTACAGAAGTTGTCAGGGACGTTAAATATCATCACACCATCTACTCACTAGTCGCTTTCATAGCCTCACTGCAGCAAGGCCTTTTAGTAATGCTAAAAATGTCTCTCTTCAGGTTGAGGTAAATGCGTCTTTTCTGGGTTCATGTTTTACAGATTTTTATGAAGTAAACATAAGAATAACTGTTATATTTTTAGCAATATTTCAAGATGAACACCGACTGATCTGAAGCAACTTACGTTTACTTGATTATTATGATTTTTTTTTTTTTTCATTCATTTGTTAAAATGATGTCAAATGTAAAAATTCAAATATGATACATAAAACTTTTTAGGAATCTCGCAATCATCATTACATTTTATTGCATTATATGTTTTGCCCACCCCCCACAATAAAAACTACAGAGATTTAATCATAAAACTAAACATTTAATTATATTAAATATAGTATTTTACTAATGTAATGGTGAGACGATGCAAGACGCAGAAAGAATACGATAACAATAACACAACTACCATAGGATAAACGATAACACAACTACCATACTTTAACATGAGACAGCGTGGGGACGTGCTTTACTTTCCTTTTGTTGTTTATGTTTATGTTTATTATTATTAAAGTTACGTTGATCATTTGCCGGTTCCAGCCTCCTTCCCTGAGCTTTGAACATTGTTACACTGTTCCATTTCAAAAAGAGATTTTTTTTTTTCTGATTATAATTTAAATGTCAGGCTTTACAGGGTTAATTGCCCACATTTTTGCAGATCTTTGGCACCAGAAGTGCTGCCTCTGCCATCCAAACGTGCTTGAAACACAAAAAGAATCTGTAATAGCTGCAAAGCAATCCTTTCTGTGACCTACAGTATTTTGTACATTTCCAATAACTTGACCACTTATGAGGAAGCTTTGGAAATTGAGGATAATAAAACAGTACCCATACACGATATACCAGAGATGCCACACGCAACATGAATAAATTATACAGATTACCTCTACTTTTTTGTTGTTTATTTATACTGTATTGATTGTCACTTGGATTTTTTTGTCAGTTATTTGTTGTTTGGTGATTAAAAGTTGGGGCCCCAGACAGCCAACTGTGTCGCCTATAGGACGGTCTGGCCCTGGTTGCTTGGCAGTTCAATAACAGACAGATTTTGTCAAGCAATCATAATAATTAATGTTCATTCATGTTGATCACTAACTTGTTGTGTATACAGCAATGATGCTTCAGTTTGGTTTTTCCAACAGGTCCAGTACAGATGGGTCAGTCCATGAACTCTTCTCTCCACAGCTCTGATATGGCTCATGAAAATATCACTAATTATTAGCCAGATATTCATTACCAACATTCAAAAACAGTCGCAGCTCATTTCTCAAAAAAATACAAACATAAAACGCTTTGTTTGTCTTCACACAATGTTTCACAATCTAGCTCTAAATGTATCATATTACTGTGGCTTGAGTTTTTAGGATTTTGTGTAGCCAATGTGAACTTGTTATTGTTGTGTGAGTCTGTTTTATTTATCTTTTACTTAAAACCAATATAGTTTTTACCTGTGTGAAAGCTGTGTCTGTCTGTGTTGAGAAGCTTTCTGATATTGTTGGTACACTCTGACCCAATGATGGAAACTTCTAGATACTCCTCTTCCCTCTAGCCAGAGACTCACAGCCTCCCCCATCTGCCTCCGAGCTTTATGATCTGGTGGGGGGAAACGCATTTTGACACTTGTTAATGTTATTGCATTAAATACAAAACATAAAACAAGAGCTACAGGAACTTTTCTCAGCACTAACTCATTTCTGTGTAATTTTTACAATGACTTTACTGTTGTTTTGGTGATTTTTAGTGGCTATATTCACACAAACGTCCTATCATAGAAACCATAGGTGAAGTTCATCACATTAACTATAAACACTTCCACTACCACTTGACAACCACAAAGTGTCACAACATTTTTGATAAGTTCTATTGTTTTATTATTTCAAATATAATGTTTCTTCTTTACAAAAAAATTGTCACATTGTTTGATATTGTGACATTCAGACATATTTAAGTGTGGCTTAAAGGGGTAGTTCACTTTAAAATGAAAATTAGCCCATGATTTACTCACCCTCAAGCCATCCTAGGTGTATATGACATTCTTCTTTCAGACGTTATATTAAAAAATATCCTGGCTCTTCCAAGCTTGATAATGGCAGTGAATTGCAACCATCAGTACGAAGTTCAAAAAAGTGCATCTATCCATCATAAACAAACTTCACAGGGCTCCGGGGTGGGGGAGGGGAGGGGTAATAAAGTTCTAAATATGAATATTTTTCGTAATCAAACTCATCGTTTTGCTTCAGAAGGCCTTTATTAACCCCTCTGAGCCGTGTGGAGCACTTTTATGATGGATAGATGCACTTTTTTGAGCTTCAATCTGTTGTTTGCAATTCACTGCCATTATAAAGCTCGGAAGCGTCAGGGTGTTTATTAATAAAACTCTGATTGTAATCGTCTGAAAGAAGAATGTCATATACACCTAGGATGGCTTGAGGGTGAGTAAATCATGGGCTAATTTTCATTTTAAAGTAAACTACCCCTTTAAGTGTCCAAAAAAATATTATTACAATTATATTGAAGTTCACATTATATTTGCATGAGGTGACTGACCCAAACAGCTTATTTAATCGCTTGTATCACTTCAAGATTTCTATATTATTTAATAGTATCTGGAAGGCAAAGGTGTAGAAATAGGCCTAACAGTTTACCTTTGGCCCACAGTGACCATGTCCTTAGAGCTAACCGGGCTTCACTTCTTTCCTTCTTCACACAAAACATGTCTGCAACTTTCAACAAATCCCTGCTATGTGTCCAATGCTTGAACCACTGTAAAGAGAAGTAAATACACAAAATTAAAATAAATGAAAGCACTTAATATTCAGCAATATCATTAATTTGACTGCACTGACACTATTGGACGAGAGCTGAATTGAGCTGGATGATGTCATCACTGTTTTCTCCAGGGCTTCTTTATAGCTGAGTCGAACTCATTCCATAATTGATAAACTTTACACGGATATTGAACCAAACTGAATTAACACTGAACTGATTTCAACTGAATAATGACACTATTGTCTTTTTAGAGCTGCTTCACAGCAGAATTGAATTTAGTTAGCATCACTGCTCATTAATTCCATGTTTATCACTGTAAAATTGCTTTGAAACAATCTGTATTGTATAAAGCACTATATAAATAAAGGTGTCTAGACTTCTTTTAAAATGTTTTATTTAAATAATAATAATAAATTAATTAATTGTAACTTCATTTTTTCAAATATTTGTAATAAATATTTGTAATATAATTTATAATAAATTATTTTTAATTAGATACCCTTTTTTGCCATTTGAATGCAGTGTTATTGTATTATAATTTATATACTATTATATTTTTTGTTATTATTTTGAATTAGATTTTTTTTTTTTTTTTTTTTTTTTTTTTTTTTAGTTATGTTAGCACTTCAACTTAAGCTAAATGAAAATAAGAAATCCTTGGCAACTAGCTAAAAAAAAATTATATTAAATTTTTTTTAGCTAGTTGCCAAGGGTTTCTTATTTTTCAAAAAAAATGTAAAAACTTTTACATTTTATTTTATTTAATATTAGCTTTATTTTAGGTGATGAAATAAAAAATAAATAAAAAAAATAGGCCAATACTGCAATTTCCTAGACCTCATTTTTTAAATTACATGAGATCAATCAGCCAAATGACTGATAAAATATAGAAAACGAATTAAAGAACTGAATCAAACCTTGTGAAGTAATCTGTTGTTCAATGTTTGAATCGCTCTACATTCTGTGGCAGCAGTTCTCCAGCGATGAAAAGCTCTTCTCTGATAGATGATGAGCTGGCTCTCCATTGTACACTTCTTCTGCTGACCCTGGATCAGAGCTCTTCTCCACTGCATGAATACAGCAGCCAACAGTCTCATCTCACTGCTGTACTGGAACCAGGCCTCTCTGTACCTCAGTCTTTGCTCTGATACTGTGTGTCTGGACCATGCCAGCAGAACCCTACATGGAGAACAAGTCCTGATAAAGCCAAAAGCCTGGCATGCGCATACAAATGCAATGCAAATGACAGCACAGAAATGCTTTTCGGTATTTTTATTATTATTTTGGGGTGCTTTTGCCGGTTTGTTGAGGCAGAGGTTGATATCACATGCATTGTTAGCTAGCAGGTTTAAAAAAAAAAAAAAAAACGTTTTTGCAAACAGTTTTACAAAAAGAATGATGTAACTTGGGTCTGTCAAGCTTCAAAAATGACTGTATGTATGTACATCACAAAACGACCATAAAAAAAAAGTAATTGCCTCTAATGCGTCTTGTTTCATTTTTGGACTTTCTCCAGCACACGTCACATTGACTGCTTGTGTGTGTGTGTGTGTGTGTGTGTGTGTGTGTGTGTGTGTGTGTGTGTGTGTGTGTTTTCTCATCTGTAAACCAGCAGCTTTGACATTCTGCTAAATATTTCATTTTGTGTTTCATGGAAGAAAGAAAGTCATATGGGATTGAATAACACGAGGGTAAATGATGAGTATTCATGTTTGGGTGAACTACCTCTTTAAGGCAAGACACTATATAGACAAAATCTGTTTTGTTTTTTCATGCACTGGTTATTTTGGGATATTTTGCTTCCACAAGCCTTCTTTCAGAGCCACAAATCTCCACTTATGTAGCACTTACATATTTAAACATAACATTTCAGAAACCTTGTAATACAAAACCATTTTGCAATTCTTATATTAAGTAGCTAATCAACAGGCTAATCAACTATTATCTATTAGATTATATTTTTTTCTGTATTCACCTTTGGTGTCCCAATCTCACCTCCTCTGCTGTCTCTGTGTACAGTGTTCTCTGCTCCTGACACTCTGTCTGAAAGCTGCTTTCCAACACAGGAACATGTTCTTCATGGTCTGCATGATGTTTCTCTGCTTTCTGGCTCGTGAGATGTGCTGTCTCCACCGATGCATCACCAGTTGAGCCTCTTTGAGCTTCCCCTCTTTGAGCTGCCAGAGACAGAAAGCTCTCTGCTGTATTCTCTGCGTCCTGACCTCCTCCAGTTCTCTGCTTATGCACAGCATGCTGAACTCATGAAGCCACTGAGAGAAATATCTGGAGGTAGAAGAGAACAAAATCTTTAATGACTTCACCATAGAAAGGTTTTTAGCAGCATTTAACAATGTTTGCGCTTATATTGGCATAATCAACCTCAATAGTTCAATTCAACTATTGGGGAAAAACAACTTCCCCAAAAATCCCCATCAAAATTGTTAATTTATTTGTTTATTTTTTTACTTCCTTACTGACATTCAGCCCAAAAACATTTGGCAATTATTATTATGATTATTATAGATAATAATAAACATACTGTCATGGTTTTGGTTGTTTGTGTTCAGAGATTCTTAGCTTTAAGGTGATTTTGTTCTGTTTTTCCTGGTTTTCCATTTCCTGTTTAGTTCTCATTTGTTCCCTTAGTTACTGATTATGTTCACCACCTGTTTCTTGTTCAGTTCTCTTTGTCTTGTGTATTTAGGGTACGTTTACACATCAACGTTTTTCCTTTGTGTTATTCGTGTACAGACGACACTGTTGTCAAAACGATCACCGTTCCCATGGATCCGTGAAAACAATACAAAACGCTGTATTATTCACGCCAGGCCAGTTGTTGGCGATGTCACTTTGTAAAGAAACACGACTACGCGCATAGACTAAACACGTAATAGGCATGCGCATGATGTCACTGTTTTCACAAATGTTCTTTTTTGTAGTTTACACTGAGACAATTAATGTATTTGTTTTCAAAAAGTTGCACTTTAAACTGCTTTGAAACCTTTGCTTTTTCAGGCCCCCAAAATGGCGTTGTCGTGCAAATGAACGGCCAAAACGCATAAACAGTTTTGAGTTTTTAGAAAGTGGTGTCGCGTAAACGCCCGCTTAAACCCTCAGTTTGGTTCTCTCTTTGTTTTGTGTTGTCTTTGTTTTACAAAGCTGTCAAATTCCTTGAGTTTGAATTATCTCCTTTGTTTCTGTGTAAAATTAAGTAATATTGCTACAAATAGATCCCCTGCTCTTCATCTCCTCTGACCTGTTGTGACACATTTGGATAATAATCACTCATTATTGGTTTATATATATCTTATGCCGACCAATTCTGCATTTACAGTATTTGATCCGAAAAAATACAGTAAGAACAGTAATATTGTGAAATACAATTCAAAATTTAAATAACTGTTTTCTATTTTAATGTGTTTTAAAATATAATTTATTCCTGTGATGCAAAGTTGAATTTTTAGCATCATTACTCCAGTCTTCAGTGTCACATGATCCTTCATAATCTCTGTTACCGTAAATTGTATGTTTATCTCTGTAAAGCTGCTTTGAAACAATCTCCATTGTTAAAAGCGCTATATAAATGAAGATGACTTGACTTGACTTCATAAATCATTCTTATATGCTAATTTGCTGCTCAAGAAATATTTCTTATTATTATCAATGTTGAAAACAGTTGTGCTTCTTTTTATATATATATATATATATATATATATATATATATATATATATATTATATATATTATATATTTTAGTAATTTATTTTTGAAAACTAGGATACTTTTTTCAGGATTATTTGATGAATAGAAAGTTCAAAAATATGTATATGTATATCACACTCATAGCTCATATATACAGTATATATAGTTATAGAATCAGCCGATGAAAAATCCTTATGATATACTGTTCTTTTTTCCATTTCCACACACACAAACCTGTGTTTTAAGACTCTTTGGTGATAATGCTGAGATCTTCTGAAATATTTTTCTGCCTGGCTCCACATGAGAAATGTTCTTCTCTTCATGACAATCTTCCTCCTCTCATCATACTCACACAGAAGAGCCTGTCGATGGGCCCGATCTAAATCAAAAGAACATGCATGTGCTTTTATTGGTTTATTAATAGTTATTTGTTATGTTATAATGCATACACTCAACATATATTGCATTTCAATGCTCATTATAAGGCAATATGCATACTTTTTTGCATTATGTATACATATTAAATATATACAGGCCTTTTAAGTGAAATAATTAACTACAGTATAACAGAAAAGCAAGAAAAAAAATCATTGATAGAAATATGGCTTAATTCAATGATGGTTTAGACTCACAGTTTTCATGTTTTCTCCACTGCTGTAAGATGACTTTGACTCTAAGGTGGAGTCTGTGTTGTCGTATGCTGTTGGAGAGCTGCTGCTGAGCACAGATGATTCTCCACTGACAGAAACAGACACGCAAGAGTCTGTAGTGTGAAAAGAACAGAGCTGACGCCTGCCTCTGCTTACAGACCTGCACACACCTCAGCCATGCCCCAAACACTCTTAAACGCACAGAAACAGACACACACTATCATTAACATGCACTTCACATTGAGCTTCACATCACCTTCCATGTTGCAGATAGATAAAACAAAGCAAAATATATAATTTAAGGTTAAAACAAGTGGTTGACCATTTCAATGACCAATGCTGTCATTCATATATAATTAATAGTATATTAATAAATAATAATAATAATAATAATATAAAAATACAATGAACACTTGTTTAGTATATCATTAACATACTAATGTAGTTTTTGTTAATATTTTGAATTATCTTTTATTTCTACATTTTGTTTTCATTTTTATTTCAGATAAAGTTGTAATAATTATTGTTGTTTTGTCAGGTATCTCTTGCGCTGATTGGTTGGATTACCTGAACGTGCTCCTCCCGAATTTTATTAAATAAACTTATTTTTAAGTAAGGGTTTAAGTTTTTTTATTTTTTTTTACTGTTTATTTATTTCAGGCAATGGGTATGTTGGTTTTTTTACTGCTTTAGTTGTAGTCAACAATAACCCTGCTTGTTTTATACAATATTTACTGAAATTTCCCTATTACATTATTTTTATACTTTTTTTTTAATACAGCCATGGTTGTTGATATTGTAAAAGTAAAATATTGGTTGATTTATCAGTCTGACTGATACAACGATGTATCACCAATATTTGCAATGGTAGTGGTGCATAAATTAAACACAACTGCTTTAAAATATCATAGTGATATCTGATAACCACCATAAAACAGCCAAAAATACATTCAGGCTGTCAGAGATATGACGTGTACCTGTTCTGTAATGTGCGGATATAAACGGCTCTGGCAGTCTGCTGCTGGCTTACACATGTTACCCACGTGGAGAAGCTCAAGTTCAGTCTGTGTCTCTCCATCTGTTCAACAGCACACTTCTGCTGCTCGCAGTGCGGCCCCACGACCTATAACACGCATAGAAAAACAGCTCGCAGATATAAGCTGCATTTGTCCACAGTCAAAGATTTAAATATGATTTATCAACATGAAACATTCACAACTCTTTATACTTCTCTAATATTGACAATATTGACATTCTAACAAGTTGTTAGAATGATTTAAGCTAAAGAAACAAACTTATCTGATATTCTTTTGCCAAATTTTGTTTCTAATTTGAGAAATATTTCTTAAAATGTAATCTATCATTAATTTGAATCAATCAAGTAGATGAGCTGTACTAGTTTGGCTATACCTATACAAAAAATAAGCCAGGGCTCATTACCATGGTGGCCATGAAGTGAACTGATTTGCCTCAAAGGGACTTGAATAAGAACATGTATTAATGCTGCCATCACATGCTATCAGAATTATCATAAATACGAGTTTCCTAGTTAAAAATTGGACATGAACTCTAAATTTGTATTTACCACTGGGGAACTCTGGGATAATATTGATACACAAGTTCCCGAGTTGGGCATGCCATAAACTTTAGCAATCTTTTGCTAAAAAAAATTGCTGCTGTGACTGTTATTCTTTATTCGTTTTTTTCCACAACAGCTACTATACATCATCCTTGTCTTGTATTTAAAGTAGTGCATATTTACATATGTTAATACACATTTGAAGAATATTGTATGTTTTATTCACCACGAAAACAGCCTGTTTTTGACTGAAATTCCAGAATTGTTAGCAAGCTGACTATCTAGATAGTGTGGTCAATGTTTATATGGTTGTCAATTAACGGGACGCAAAATATCATTTTGGCTTAAATAAGATTCTCAATAAATAGGCTAGAATAAACCTGGTGTCCTCCATGATTCCTGTTCTTTCTGACAACAAAGCTCGTAATTACAACTTCAGAAGTGGGAAGTAGGAAATTTCCGATAGCACGTGATAGCAGCACAAGCAAGTAAAAAGGATCCATTATGAGTAATAATGGTATATTTTAACTTGGTAAAACAATGACCATTTTTATTAAAATTCTTTTTATACATACATATTATTTACCCCTTCATCAAGTTTGTTTCCTTTAAAGAACTGGGGTTCCCAAGGTCTTGGAAAATCTGGATATATGAGGAAGCCAATATCTATAATTTTTTTAATAGTACATTTATTTTTGCTACTTAGCCTTTTGCTGCTACTTTCTTTACTAAACATGCTGAAAGAGTTTTTTGAAACTTTTCAATAGTTTTTTTTGTAGAAAACTTAAATATAAGTACAATTTTGAACCAATTTGGGTAATTATGAAAAGGTAAAATGGCAATTTGTATATCAAGAAAGAGGACAATTGAAAAGGACAAAAAGATTGATGATATTGTGTTTTTAAGTGTTTAGTCAGAGATAGAATAGCTTTAATATGCGCATATTATGATTTTATTGATAAAATAGAAGGTTTTAAAGAGAAGCTAAAATGGAAAAATTTTCCCATTATTGGAGAATTGTTTATGGTGTTTTATATTAAGAATGTTTTTTTCTTTCTCGGGGCCTGGGGTAAAACAGGTTGAGAACCACTGCTTTAAATATAAAAGGAAATAAAATAACAATCCTCCCAATGCAGATGGAGTTTTTTTTTACTATATTGATATTTAGAGTCTGGGGCAGATTCATAACATACATTTTCTACTTAATTTTTTACCATTCTGGTCCATGTACAGAAGCAGTGTCTGAGTAGATTGGTGTCATGGGTAAGCGTTGCGTGTTGTTCCAACATGCGTTTCCTGCATCTCTGCGAAACCATTAATTTCCATTGAATGACAGTGTGAAAAATCACCCTCCTCTCCTGTAAAAAAAAAAAATGTGTACAAAAATCAACAAACCTACTTTTCTCATTGCTCATCAACATAGTTTAATACTTAGTTCACCCAAAATTTAAATTTTGTTCATTTTGTACCAAACCTAAATGACTTTTCTCTTCCGTGCAAAAGGTGTTTTTGTATGATACATTTAAAGAGGGTGGAAACTGGGGCTGTTAAGTTCAAACTATAATAAAAACATCATACAAGTATCATAAAAGTAGGCTATATGACTCATAAGTTACATTTTTATTCTTCTGATGTCATACAATATCGCTTTGTGTCAGGAACAAGTCAAAAGGTTGTTGTTAAAAAATTTTCCTCCACTGCATCACATATAATTTTTTAGCTATTGTATGGCTTCTGAAGACGTCAAATATATGTATGGACCACTTTATATTATATACATTTCAGTTTTGGATCTTGACACCCTTTTCTGGTCACTGCATGAAAAAGAACCAAGACTATATATTGCATAATATCTACTTTGGTTTCCACAGAAGAAAGACAGTTATACATAATTGGAACAACATGGAGGTATACTCATACTCAATACTCATTTTTGGGTGAACTATTTTATGTATATATGGACTATGGCTTTGGCTTAAAGAAAACGTCTCAGGTTACATATGTAACCATGGTTCTCTAAGAAGGGTTACGAGACTTGTTGTTCTGGAGTTTTGACGCTATGGGAAACGCCCTCAGCGTCACTGGTGTCTGAACATGTACCAAACATGTCTTTTTATTGGCTGACGGCAGTCTATGAAATCATGAGCAGAGCGCCCATGAGTATAAGAGGGTGCCTGCAAAATACGTCATCTACTCTTTTGTCTGAAGGAGACATGCAGGCAACCCGATGCAATCCATAGAGGGCATAGAATAGATTGACACTACAGATCACCTAGCTGGAGTCAAGGGGTTCAACCCCCAGGGCACAAATGCGACTCATAGACTGCTTAATGGAGCCATTCCCTCAGCTCAATTTCTCTTATAGCAAGAGAAGGTATATCAGCTTCTGTGCTCTATTGCAAGGGCAGTCCTGGCCTTTACAACCTCCCTCCCTTCCTTGCAGGGCAGGTAAAAAAAAAAACTTAAATGCCACAAGAGCAAACAAAAGCTCTAATAATTGCTAGTTATGTCAATGCTTAAAGCCGCTAGGGAGTAGTTTACCAAACTGAGTACTCAACTACGACCTACCTTCGGTCTACCACTACTTCCAAGGTGGAGACTATAACCCTCTCTTCATCAGAAAGAATCATAACACGAGGGACATAGTGCAAAGGCTCTCGCCATCTCAACTCAACATATAGGGAAACCGCAGGGGAGCTTAAGCTCTACAGTCACATGGGAGAGCAAAGATTTTCTCCAGAAAACACTTCTATGAACTCATCTGATCAGAGTGCTGCCATAACAAAATAGTTGGAGAGGGAATAAACAAAACTGAGGAATCTGGGAATACCTATCAAAACTCCATCCTTTATACTCTCTACTCTACCTCATTGGTATCACGAGGGCAGCTGAAGAAAGGGAACATGGAATGTGCTCAAAACCCTTAGTAATTAGTCTTAATGACTATTTTACTACAACTGCCCCTACAGGGGAGAGTCCCCTATACTCAGGATGGAGGGAAATGAAGTAAGACATAATGCAGTGAGCCCAGTAATCCTCATTACATAGACTCTAGACCCAAGGAATTTGAAGGGGAGCTAGGCCTTACTTAACGACAACAATGCAACAGGGGAAGAGCAGCTCATACCATGCCTTGAGTAAAGGTACTCTGAGGTCAGCTACAGCTAGCGCCTCAAGTCTATTTGGCACCAGGCCATAGTATGTGACAGATAACAAGGAGGGACACCCTCAGGCAAACGTCCTCCCATCATTAGCATTGATGCTAATGACCATAGTAGAGCATCCTCCAAAAAGGGGATTGATATCCCTACCTGATGGGTCCAACATTAATTGGAGAGGGGGATCCACGAAACATTGGGAATCTCGAGAACTGTCCATAGTTCTGTCCACCCTGCTCTACCCTAAGGTGAATCTTAAGAGCAGATTAAGAAAAGGAGCCTGCCAAGTGCTAAAACTTTCGTAATGAACCTTCCAGGCTACAACCTTCCCTATTGTTGCCCTTTCAGGGTCCTTGCTTCTGCTTAGGAAAGGAGGGAGAATGAGAGCAGGGCATAATGGAGTGTGCCCACTAATCCTATCACCCAGACTCTAAGAAGAACAGCTGAACCCTTCCTTTAATAAAGGTACACAACATGTATTTCATGGCAGATAACAGGGAGGGATGCCTACAAGCAAAACACCTCTACTCATTAGTACTGTCGCCATGGTCGAACACCCATTCAAAGAGGAGCGATATCCTTGCTTCAGAACCCAATAATAGTTGGGGAGGTTGGTAATTGAAGCATGGTTCTATTCACCCTGCTCTACCTTAATGGTACTTAAAAGCAACTGTCACAAAGAGCAAGAAAGGCTGCTTAGAGCTGCTGCTCCTCCGAGAGGGAAGCCTACTTCTGTACTTTGCCAAAAAGGGAGGGAAATAAAGCAGGGCATAATGCAATGTGCCCAATAACTCCTACCACTCTGCCACAGGGGAGCTCAGTCCCTACTTAAAAACCCCAATGTCATTGGGGAGCGTAGCACACACCCCATTATAGCTATCAATTAGTTTTATTAGAGCACCTATCCAAAGGAAAGCAAAAAACCTACTTCAGAACGCAGTAATAGTTAGGGAGGTAGATAGGGAGATGTGAATGCCACAGTTCCGTTCAACTTGCTCTTCCTTCAAGGGGAAGCCTATTCCTTTAATTCGCTGTAGTGGGAAAAAATGAAACTGAAAGCAGAGCATAATATAGTGGGCACAAAAATGTATTATCACCAGGGCTCCAACCCGAGGGTGCCACCAGGGAGCAAGCTTGTCAATGCGTCTTGATAACACATTCCAAAGAGAGCAACACCAACACAGTCACCACAAGTTGAGGGAGGTAATGAAGAGGAGGGGAAAATGATATTATAGTAAACCCATCCCGTTTGCTCTATCCTAAGGAACATTAGAGCAGTTCCTCAAAGGTAGCATGCAAAATGCTGACTTCCCAAACCAGCCTCACAGGCTACAACCTTCAGGGCTGCTCCTAATACCAGACAAAGAACCTTCTTACGTGAAAGAGGTATGCAAGGACGAGACATGCATTCAGCTATCCAATGCACTGATTACCTCGGTTCAAACCTTTTGGAACTATTGGAAGCTTGCGCACCCTTGCTAAGGGTCGCTCATGGCCCACTAGAAAGCGCTTGTCCAAACAACCACAAGCAACTTGCCATTTCTCACGTGACCAGGCCAAGTTTAACCTGTGCGTTTAACCTGTGCCATCACATCCAATAATTTCATGTTTGCAGGGCTGGTGGGTGGAGCAGATTCAACTGAAACATCAACATGTTCTTCCCCAACCACATTCAGTTCCTCAGAACTGGAGGTTGCCAGCAACATGCTTTCTGCTGGATCAGGAGGAATCCGCACAGCCTCTGGTTCCAGCAGATCGCTTGAACAAGCTTGAGGGGTCTGGAAAATACTAATAGTTCCTGCTTCCCCAAACTCCTCAGCCGGTTCAACCTATGAACGCTGCCTTAGCAGCTGCAGGCCCTGACCCACGAGGCGCAGGCGATTGTCCCCCTCCCCTCAAAAAGATTGACAAACGTGAAAGGAGCCTTCTTACTGTGAACTTGTCACAGTGCACATCCAGCTCCCTTGAGAGTCCTCGAGTGTAAGAAAGCGTATACACGAAGGAACACACTGTCGAAAACTCTTGCTCCCACTTGCCATTATTCTCCATGTGCTCATAAACAAACAGCTCCTGAAGACAAAAAAGCTGCTGATGTATTTTGCAGGCGCCCTCTTATACTCATCATGGCTGCTCTGCTCATGACGTCATAGACTGCCGTCACCCAATTAAATTGGCGTGTTGCTGTGTAGATGTGTTCAGACACCAGTGGGGCAGAGGGCATTACCCATAACTCCATGACGCCGTGTTAAAGTTCCACTTCGAAAGGGAACAATGTGTGAAAACATAAAATACCAATTTTTACCATTGTGAAGCCATTTTTTCAAAGTTGGCATAGTTACTATGGAACAGCATTCCTGCCAGTGGACCAATATAAATGATTTTGTTGATTAAGATTTAATTTACCCAGTGCCGGACAGCCCTGCAGTGTATTTGTGTATGAGCTCTCCACACCCTGAATGCCACAGTCAGGTCTTTACATCTCCTGCTTTTTCTACAGAGATCCCCCCGTAGCCTCATCTCTCTGTTAGTGTGCACTAGACTCCTCCACTGGGAAAAAGGCAGACTCAGATCAGGATGCATCATCCTGCCGAGGGCTCTTAGTAGCACAACCTAAGGAAGAATGAAAAAGTAGCAGATTTAATATGAATAGAACTGACTGCTGAATTTACTCAGTTTGGTCCCATACTAATACAACAGCAGAAGCAAAGCTGACTCTGGATCAGAACTGTTATACTATGAAGTATTAAATGTAAATTTACCACCAGAATGATCCAAAAACATGATTCATATTATGGGATCCTGTAAAATTATTAACATTTTGGTGGAAAGAATCAATACTCAAGTTATAACAAAGAATAAAAAGCCATAAAAATCTAAACTCCTAATATTTAGTTTCTCAAGTAAATTTAGCGGTTTGCTAAACCGCAAAACCGATTTATTTTGCTAAACCGCAAAATAAATAAATATTACTAGATTTAATACAAAGTGCATGTTAAATATCAGGGAAATGTTATAAACAAAAGATTTATGTATAAACAATATAAATTGCAATTGATTGATTGATTGAACAATACCACCTTTGATCTGCAAAGTCTGCAGTGATCATAGGAGCTCCAGAAACAACTATGAGCCATTCTCTCATCTCCTGGGTCTTTATATTCCTCAGAGATTTTACTGCGGGGAAAAAAAGAACCAAAGTAGAATGGTCTTTTGTCTTTAATTTAAACTTTGTACTAAAATTATTTTAAAAATTAAAATTAAATTGTGTAGCTAACCTGATAAATGATCTGTGCTCCTCTGATGCGGTCCATGACATGTGGCTGTGCTGTGATTCTGTGGCCTGTAGAGGGCAGTGTTGCTCTCTAGGTGTCAACACACTTCGCTCCAAACTATCATCTTCTGCTGTGCAGTTTTTACATTCTACCAGAGAACCCTTTTTGAACGATTAAACATTTATGATGAAAAGAAAAAATAAATCACAATATGCTTACTGAGAATACAAAACCTATACTTTTCCAACTGATTACTTACAGCATGTTCCCTAGGAATTACTCAGCTAAAGAGCAAAACGTTTGACAATAAATCAAATCACCTTTTTTGTCAATGATACTACAATATTAGCAGTATTATGGTGCTTTTGAGACCTCCAGTCTGATTTAAAAAGTCTTGGTCTAAGTTTTAAGAGTTCTGCTATGGTCTGGGTCTGCTAGCTGGAAAAATGCTAATTTAAACAAAACAAACAAAATCCACGCAATGGGCAGCTAGCTAGCTCTGAGTCTTGTACCTGAGGTAATGCAGTGGATACAGAACAGGGTGAGGAAGATGAGGATGGATGAAGATGAGCCAGTTTGGCTGTGAAGAGCAGAACTGCATCAGAGAAAACAGCCTGAGTGTGTCTGTACCACTCCACAAGAACAGCCCGCTGAACAGCTCTATCTTGAGCTGATCTGTGAGATCTCAAAGAGAAATTTAAGAATTGAGCAGGGAAAGGTAGAGAGAGAAATATAGCTACAGAGAAAGAGAAAAAGAGGAGTTTAGCATACTGTGCCAACTGTTGTTTCACTAATATCTCTGTCCACTTATGAAGAGTGTTGTGGAGAAGTAGCATGGATGATAGTTCTAGCGCTGAAAATCGTGTTTTCCATTTGAACACTTTCATCGTACAACCTAAAATCCAAACAGATTTTCAACATTGGTAATAATAAGAACTGTTTCTTGAGGACCAAATCAGCATATTAGGATGATCTCTGAAGAATCATTATCATGTAACACTGAAGGCTGGTGGATAATCATTTTTAAAATATATTCAAACAGTTATTTTAAGTTGTAATAATATATCACAATATTACTGTTTACTGTATTTTTATCAAATAAATGCAGCCTTGGTGAGCATAAGTGGATTTCTTTCAAATCTAACTAACCTTCAACTTTTGAAAGATATGTATATCACAGATAGCTGATAGCACAGATCTTAAACACATAATCATACTCGTAAAATGATCTAACCTGTGTTTTTCTGTCTTGTATGAAACTGGTGGATGAGGAACTCCTTTTGAAGACAGTGTAGCTGTAGAGATCTGCTCCACTGCTGTAAGCATGTCTTGAGTGTCAGAGCCTTTCTGTGATAACAGTAATGCAGAAGCAACGCACTGCGGTGAACCAGTGTTCTCCACGCTGATAAACACCTGCCATAAGCACACAGAGAATCAGTGCCACAACATGGAACAGTTTAGCAACCACATAGCAACACCCTATAAAGAAACTAGTGTTCAAAAGTTTGGGGTAAGTATTTTTTTTTTTTTTTTGGTGATGAGCCTTCTAAGACTATAGCAAGTTCCCAGGAAGGAACTCGCGGTCCTCAGGTGCAAGAAATGAGATACCAGGGGAATCTCCATCAACGTGAATGTGCCAAGCCGAAATAGCAGCCATGTAAAATGTAAGTGTAGCCAGGGCCAACCCTGCTGAAAGATGCTCCTGTAGGAACTCAAGGAGTGAACCAACCAGGCAATTACCAATACAATTTCCTTGTAGAGGGAGCTCTAGCATTAAAAATGGCCTCAACAACCTCAGTTGAGAGACCAGATTCTGGGAGCTGATCACCCTCAGGGGCCAGACCCACCGGTTCCAAATCTCCGGTCGGGGGTGAAAGATCCCTACACCTGAGACAAAAAGTCCCTCCTGGTCGGAATCTCCCACAGAGAGCTTTCCAGGATAAACAATAGGGGCACTATCATACACCGGCGCAATGCAGCAAGTGTTTTTTTACTAGTTTCAGCCCGACGCAGTTATCATTTTCACGTCCTGCGCCACGTTGTTTAAATAGCAAATGCATTTGCGCCTATTTGTGCGCCCATGGGCATGCTGGTCTGAAAACGAGGTGTGTTCAGGCGCATTGTTGTCGCGTTGCTATTTTGAGGCAACTGAAATAAACTGTGCCATTGACCAACTGAAACCTGGTCTAAAGTCCATGGCGCAATATTTTTTTTGTTATTTAAAGGTTCTCTAAGCGATGTCGGGTGACGTCACTTCTTGTTGACGTTTAAAGTATTGTCAAACAAAACGGAGGCTAGCTAGACCCTCCCTCCTCCTCATCCGCGCACTAAACCCCCAAACCCCGCCCCCAAGTCCTTCTTGTTGGTGATTGGCTGGAACTGTTTGTCATGTTTCGTGGAGCGGGTTAGCCCAGTTTGTTTTTGTTGCTGTTTGTGGAGCCTGTGGTGCAGTTTGAATTAAATATAAACGCAACAATAACAAAGACATGCAAATGAACCAAAAACAGGACATGATGTCACAAGATGCGACGCTAAAAAGGACAGAATCCTCAAGCATACCTGTTTTTTCTCGTCACAGTCATGATGTTGCTCAGCTGGTCAAAATACCATCATATGTATGCTACGCACATACAGTGAACGCATTTAGCCCGGCACACTGCATTGTTTTGGATGTTCGGTAAGTTCCGTCTCAAGATATACGCCATAAAAGCAGACCAATCAGGTTGTGAATGTATCCCTATGCATTAAGGTTTGGTGTTAAAAATGCCAATGTGAACGCTAAATGGACCAGGAATATATATATATATATATTTTTTTGGTTGGGACCAAATGAACCAAGCGAACCGAACTACAAGTGTACTAAGTGTATTGTCCCAGTGACAAACTTTTGTACCCCTAAAAGCACATTTGTTTTTGGTGTTCCATGGCAGAAAATCAGTCATGCAGTGAATGACATGAGGGTGATGATGTGAGAGGCAGATTGACCCTTACCGGCTCAAAACTAACTGTTTTTCTCTCTCTCTTTGATGGGATTCTGCTCTTTTCTGCCAACGATGGAAGGAGTGAAGAAGGTTGCTTATCTGAGTGGACTGCTTCAACTTCTCCAGCTTCTTCTGATGGTAACGGATCTTCCATTTCTTCCATGCTGATGCTAACAAATGCATTCTAAAGAAAGACAGAGATCTCATTGATATCTAGGGGAAACATTATGAGATATTTAGATAAGTTATAGCAAATTCTAAAAAGAGACTGAAACATTCGGGAGACTGAAAAAATATATACTGCACTAGCATGACACAGACATGGATATAGCATTGAGAGAATATCTGTACCTGTACTGATCTGTGGCCAGCTGTTTTCTCTGCCAGGTTAATATCCACAGGGTCCAGACTTTGCTCCGGAGTCGTCTGACCCAACACACACATGCCCACCACTCCTGCTGTCTCCTAGAGAACCGTTTTAAACACACCTGCCTCCACAGCAGCCAGTGCTTATACAGTACAGATAGACTGCAGGGTGTAAAGCACATACAGACACACTTAAATACACAACTAGATACTTACATGTGCTTAAGAAAAGGAGAGTGGTGCTTCTAAAAAGAGGTAAGAAACCAGCCAGGACCTACGTTATGCACAACTTAGATGAAACTCATGATAGCTAGCAAAGAGAAACCCTTATTCCTGTCCAAGATGGTAACTCAGGCATCCCTATTAACTCTTATTCATAGTGAGGTAACTGTAGATATGACCCAGATTATGGGATGATTCTTACTGATAATGAATCACAGCTGTTCTGAGCAAACGTGGGTTCCTCCAGGTGGAACATGTGGTCATCAGAAACATAGTTCTGCTGGGCTGAATGAGTCGTTTTCTTAAAGCATCTGTGTTGCTCTCATAGTGATTCTTCCACTGTAACAGAATGTGCTATTAACTTTAAGATATGAAGTTGAAATGGTTCGTTTAAAATACTGTCTAACACCATGGGCCATATTTTATCGATCTAAGCGCATGGTCTAAAGCGCATGGTGCAAGTGAACCAATTTTGCTAGTCTGCGCGCCCGGCGCATGGTCTAAAAGGGTTGTCCCTATTCTCTTAATGATTAATGGGTGTGTTTTGAGTGTAATGTGCAATAAACCAATAAGAGTCTCATATCCCATTCCCTTTAAAAGCCAGTAGCATTAGCGCCATGGCGGATTGCTATTTACATGGCGGAATTTGCAAGGGGAAAAAATTAACGCTTCTCTAGCGAGGAAACGGATCTGCTTGTGCACGAGGTTAAAGTGCGCAAGCAGACCATCTACGGGACAAGCCGGATTCCACCATATCTTTATCTACACAATATAAATCTTTTACATTGTAATCCTTATATATCCTAATATTTGGCTTGTTTGTGTGCTGCTGCACATCCCTGTGTGTGTAATAAGCAGAGTGTAGACGCGTTGTGGACCCGCCTATATGCGCATATTACTAATGCACCCTTTAAATAAAAATATATATATATTGCGCCAAGCGCCATTGACTTTAGACCAGGTTTCAGTTGGTCAATGGCGCAGTCTAATTCAGTTGCCTCAAAATAGCAACGCGCCAACAATGAGCCTGAACACACCTCGTTTTCAGACCAGCGCACCCATGGGCGCACAAATAGGCGCAACTGCATTTGCTATTTAAACAATGTGGCGCAGGACGTGAAAATGATAACTGCGTCGGGCTGAAACTATCAAAAGACACTTGCGTCGCGCCTGGGGCTGCAGTGTACCGGAGTGTATGATAGGGCCCCACGAGGAATTATGCCTTTTGACCATCCAAACACTGTAGTTCATCATAGTTATCATAGTCAACTTTGTTGTAAATTTCTGAGGGATATTCTCAGGAAACTCTGCCATTGTTTATAAAATACATTATCACAAGGGTATAGTGTATTATAGAGTATTAGGCTGTTGTACACATTTCTCACCTGGTAAAAACTCTGATAGAGTATGAAATTACTTCTTCTCCTCTCCACTGCATCTGTATGAGCACAATGCATCTTTGCGGCCCATCTCAGAACAAACAGAGCTTTGTTCAAAATCCGTCTTCTGTCATGACAGCAGGCTTGAGAGAGTAACCGGAGTCTTTTTGACCACATTCTAAGACAGCGCAACCGCAGACGGAACCTATACAGATCCTCACTCCTGCATAACACACAGTGACAATTGGCAAAAAAATTTACAGTGATGACAGTCACCATACATATTTCACGGCCCAACCTCCAGATAATTCTCTTGATCTCAATTTAAACACAGTACATGGGCTCGAAAACGCATTCAATTCTATCCATTCAGCTGAACTCAAAATTACAGGTACAAGTTACAACAAGTAAGATATTTATTGTTTTATAAGCTCTATCAGAAGGGTTACTTATTACGCTTTCACAAGCACAGGCATTTGACACAGATACAGAGTTTGTTTTCTTTACCTTTCTTCTATTTTCTTTTCATCAAAGTCATCACAAGCCTCTGGTGTCACATCAAGCTTTTCAAACAAATAGAAATATGTTAACGATGTGTTCGATTTTCTAAAATTTCATCAAATTATATTATCCCTTCAAAACACCTCTTGGAAACCAATCCAAATGGAATCAAATAAGAATCTATCCAGCCGGCACAAGACATTTCTGTTTGGTTGAAAATAGGTTCTGATGTCAGGTTATCAAGACCCTGAGCAGACCCTATCAAGACCCAAGACCCTGAGCTGAGCAGACCCATCAAAGTAGGGTTCTAAGGATTCTGAGTTCTAAGGATGCGTCACACCTATGTACACTTAATATATAGCTACATCCAGTAATATATAACTAAACATAAATTTAAAAAATAATGTAATATATCATAGCAATGTCTTACTGTCATTCTTAATTAAATTTTTTTTTTAAATTTATTAATAATCTCCATTTATGACAGTGTGACTGTAGCCTGGCTCCGCCCTCCTAATTACTTCTGCTCAATTTTCATTTTCCTTCAGTACATTGTCTGGGTTTGCGGTATATTCGCGGGTTTTCTCCGGCCAATTTGTTACCGGTCCAATCAGCGAACAGAGGGAGTGGCTGAGAACGATGACGTTGAGGTTGTTCCACCAAATGTTCCAGAGTGACTCTGGGCAGATCCAATAGTTTTAAACTTCAACAGAGTAACCGCCTTCAAGGAAGTTAACGCTTGTCAATGGGGAGTAGCCAGACTCTCTGTAGAAATGAAATGTACGAGAGTCTGGTAGGACCAGGCTAGTGTGGCTAGGCCATAAGAATCAAATTCTAATTAGATTTTAGCTGTCAAAATGGATAATTTTTCATCCATAACAGAACTCTGGAATACTGGAACGTCTTACTGGAAAACAAAAGGAAATCAGAGGTGGAATGAGTTTTTAAATCTATTTTTTTATGTTAATTTTCATTAATCATTGTAAGTAAACTGCACTCATAACAATCTAGTGTTCATTTAAAATTCTTAAGGAATTCTCCATTTGAACTGGTTCCATATAATGATATAAATCCCAGCAGGCTTCATTTAGGATATTTTCATTACGGGATTTTGAATGCCAACATACCTGAGCAGAAATCTGAGCTTCTGTTGCAGCCAAGGCTTTACACTTCGCAAAAGGTGAGTGTTGATGAGATGTAAGGTATTGCCCATGAATAGACACTAGTTCATTCCTTCCTGCCAGTCCAGGAGGACATTCGCATGCTCCTCTAAGAAGAACTCTTTGCATAGTTTGCGTATGGTTCTTTATATCCTTTCCATGAATCACCAGTGGGTGCATCTGACTCAAATTCTCTTGGATTTCAAGCCTTTTATGAGGGTTAATCTCTGTAGGGCTTTCAAAAGCCATTTTGTTGCCATTAGGCCTTGTGTCTCTGACAAAATCTTCATTTTGTCCAGATTTGTTTGGTTGTTTGCCATGTATAGATACTCTAGGGACTTGACTAGAGCTGAATCTTGTATTACAGCACTGAAACTGCTGTTGTCTTTTGATACCTCTAGGAATGTAGCAACTGTGCCTTTCACTTTCAGTGACAACAGGTATTGCGAGAAAAGAATCTGCTGAGGTGGATCCAGATAAGTTGGGCGTTTGATGTTCCACAAAAGAGACGGCTTGTTCAGTTGTGTCGAAGTGGAGCATCGAGCAATGCAAGTTTGCAGACATCCACGAGGACTCAAGAAGCTCATGAAAGGTAGAGGAGGAAAGCCTTTCATCTTGCTTTTGAAAAGCGAACGCTTCCTTTTGGGGTTTATAAGCAACGTCTGCAGAATTAAAGCAGGTCGGCTGGCTGTTTTTCTTTGAAATTGTGGATAATGAGGAATCCTCAGTAAAATCCCTCTCTTGAGTCTTCCATTGCCCACACTTATGCTTGGCTGCTGTGTCACAACATATGAGGGCTGTAGCATCACTTGTTGTATCTCTCCTGGCGTATTTTGAGCCACTTGCACTCTCTGAAACCGAATAAATGTTCTTGTGGTGAGGAAGATCATAAGTGCAGTCTGCTTCCCTCTTGAAGAATGTTTGCTGAATGAAAGGCTCAGAACCAAACGTTAGTATAGAGGGACGTCTACTCAGCGGGGTGTTCTTGTATAAAGTTGTTGTACCGTCTTTCGGAGCATATGGAGGCTCATCTGCGTTTTCCTCAGGCAACGGCATGATGCTTGTTATTCACATTTTGCCGTTTCAATACAGATCAGTTCAGGTATAATTTTAAAACAAGGTCTCATTCCATCAGCTCAATACAATATTCAGGCATAACCATGAGAGCTGCATTAAAAATGGCTGAACTTCCAAATAATTAAATTAAAGATCTAATAATTTAAATGTCAACTGATTAAACATTTATATTCTTACATGTGGATAATGCAGTGGCAAATATGATCATCATCAGGCTACAGCTGGAAAGTATTTACAAAAAATCACTCACCCTCAGGGGCAGCATGTTATATTTGCTAATGCCTCCATTTTGTGTCATCTATAGTTAATGATCTGTATAAATTGTGGGCAAAACCTTCAAACTGCAGAGCTCACGTTGTGTGAGCTAAGAAGATTAGAAACAGATTACTGTACAACCAACCTGCTGGGAGGGGCCGGTAAATTAACTCAGTCTAGTTCTCATTATAAGCTGAGAGACGACCTTTAAAAACTATATTTTACATTTTTGAAGAGAACATAGCTGGTGTTTGCCCATGCAAAACACTGCACCACAATGCTAAGATGCTATGGGAATTGATGCGCAGTTCCTAAGCTGTTCTGAGTGGTTAGTTCATTGCATTGGCTAATCTGGGTGGTTGTTAACTGGCCCGAATCAAAAGAGCCCATTCGCAAGACTCTATGGCTTTGTTCAGACTGCAGGTAAATGTGGCCCAAATTCGACTTTTTTGCTCATATGTGACTCAGATCTGTTTTTGTCATGACAGTGTGAAAAGCACAAACCACATGGAATCTGATCTTTTCAATTCCGATTTGGGCCACTTCCCTATGTGGTCCTTAATCTGATACAGGTCAGATGTCAGTCTGGCAGTCATATAGAAATTCATGCGACTTTTACGTCCCTGTAGATAAACGTTTGTCACAAATCTGCGCTCATGGGAGTCACTTCAAAGATTTTACATACCGGAAGTTATCAAGAAAGTTTCGAAAGGTAGTCAAGTGGAGAGTGATGTGTAACTTATAAGTATTACAGTGACATGACAGCTCTATATACATAGATATATCATGTGCTTAAAAACTCTGCTTTCTTATTTCGTATCCTTGTCTTAGTTATTTTATATTGCCTGACTGTGCATATATTCGCTGGATTCCGAATAAAATGAGGAAAAATCGGAAATGAGCATTAAAGCTCGCAGTGTTGCCTACGATATTTTGGTATGTAAGCTTAATAATTTGAAGCATCATTCATGTCTGTGTGTACAGTAAAGTGCACAAAGCCTTGCCCTGTTTTAGTATTTTATTACACATTTTAAAAAATGTATTTAAAATAGTTTTAATTGAAAAAAAAATGCAATTGTTTTTAGAAGATTGTCTTGACTATGGCTTGTCATGTTTGTCAATCACTGATTGGCTACACTATTGTTCTATTTGTTGTGCTATGTAAAAATTGATTTAGATAGATTTGTCAGAAGCAATACACACATCAAATTTAGTAAAAATATCTTATTTTATTTGAGAAATGCTACAATTACCGTTAAATAATCTGTATAATCAAATTAAATTGACAAATTTCAGGAAGAAATTTGAATTCATTGTCCATTTCATACAAAATACAAAATGTAATTTCCAAGTCATGTGATCTTTAAACACTAATTACAGTAAGTTTTACAAACAATGATGGAAAGTAAAACACAAGGTGTGTTAAATTTCATAATCTTGATCAACCAAACGTCTACTTGTAGCTTCTCAGATAAACCAATCTGTGAGGCTGGAATTTCTCTCGACAAAGCGGGCATTCGGTCTACAATAAAAGCAACAAAGAAAATTACTTCTCGTACATCATTAATGTTGAACTTTATGTGCAAACACACCACAGCATTATGTAATATAAAAGTCTTGCCTTGGTATTGCACCACTCAGTAATGCACTCCCAGCAGAAGAGATGACCACAGGGAGTACAAGTGGTGTTTCTGCGCTCCTCCAAACATAAGATACAGCGTGAAGAGCGAGACGATGACTCACTGACCTGAGGACTGAAAGGAAAAACAGATGTGTAAAGAACGCAATATAAATCTAGTGTATTATGAACGCTCCCCTCAAGACTCCATAATGTCACATTTATTACCATAAAACTAATGCAAAAAAAGACAAACAAGGATGTCTGAGATGAAGAAAAAAAATGGTTAAAATTAAAATGTTTCAACCTTTTTGGTTTAATGACTTACAGAAGTGAAATGCTATTTAAATGTGATGTAAAAATGTATGTAAGCATAAATTAAAAGTTTTGAAACATAATATTCTCGATTTTTAAATTGCCAGTTAATATTGCGAGAGAAAAAAGTCAGACCTGTGAGCTGACTTTTTTTCTCAGAACTGCAATTTATATCTCACAATTCAAACTTTTTAACGCAAAAAAAAAGTCCGAATTCAGGGATATAAACTCGTAATTGCGAGAAGAAAGTTAAAATCGGCAATTCAGAATTTTTTCTCAGAATTTCGAGATAAAAACGTACAATTGAGAATTAAAACGTCTTTATTGCGAGATAAATATTTGCAATTGCGAGAAAAAAAGTCAGAATTGTGAGAAAAAACATGAAGAACTTTTTGACCCCCAAAAAAAAAAAATCTCTCTCTCTCTCATACACACTCACCGGCCACTTTATTAGGTACACCTCGCTAAGGTGCTCTATTGGACTGAGATCTGGTGACTGTGGAGGCCATTAAAGTATAGTGAACTAATTGTCACTTTCAAGAAACCAGATTGAAATGATTTGAGCGTTGTGACATGACCCGTTATCCTGCTGGAAGTAGCCATCAGAAGATGGATACACTGTGGTCATAAAGGAATGGACATGGTCAGCAACAACACTCAGGTAGGCTGTGACATTTAAACAATTGCTCAATTGGTACTATGGGGCCCAGAGTGTACCAAGAAAATATACCCCACACCATTACAGCACCATCACCAGCCTGAACCATTGATACAAGGCAGGATAGATTCATGCTTTCATGTTGTTTACGCCAAATTCCAACCCTATCATCTGAATGTCGCAGCAGAAATCAAGACCAGGCAACATTTTTCCAATTTTCTATTGTCCAGTTTTGGAGAGAGAGCATATGCAAATTGTAGCCTCAGTTTCCTGTTCTTAGCTGACAGGAGTGGCACACAATGTGGTCTTCTGCTGCTATAGCCCAGCTGATTCAAGGTTCAATGTGTTGTGCGTTCAGAGATGCTCTTCTGCAGACCTCGGTTGACGAGTGGTCATTTGAGTGACTGTTGCGCTTCTATCAGCTCAAACCAGTCATTCTCCGAACTGCCGTTCACTGGATATTTTTCTTTTTCGAACCACTCTATGTAAACCCTAGAGGTGTAATGCATGAAAATCCCAACAGATCAGCAGTGTCTTAAAATACTCAGACCAGCCCTGGCACCAACAACCATGCCACATTCCAAGTCACTTAAACAACCTTCTTCCCTGTTCTGATGCTCAGTTTGAACTTCAGCAGATCGTCTTGACCATGTCTACATGCCTAACTTGAGTTGCTGCCATTAGATTGGCTGATTGGGATTTTATATATATATATACACTACCGTTCAAAAGTTTGGGGTCGGTACGATTTTAAATACTTTTAAAAGAATTCTCTTCTGCTAACCATGGCTGCGCTTATTTGATTAAAAATACAACAAAAATCAGTTCTAGTATTAAATATTATTCCAGTGTAAATCAGCTGTTTTCTGTGTGAATATATAGTAAAGTGTAATTTATTCCTGTGATCAAAGTTGAATTTTCAGCATCACCAGTGTCAGTGTCTTCAGTGTCAAATGATCCTTCACAAATCAGTATAATATGAGGATTTGATGCTCAAGAAACATTTATTATTATTATCAATGTTGAAACAGTTGTTGGTCTGTCAGTTGTACAGTTTTTTTTTTTTTTTTTGGATTCTTTGATGAATAGGAAGTTCAAAAGACTTTTGTAACATTATAAATGTCTTTACTGTCACTTTCGATCAAATTAATTATTCCTTGATAAATAAAAGTATTGATTTCTTTCCTCCAAAAAATAAAAATAAAATTCTCACTGACCCCAAACTTTTGAACGGTAGTGTATATATATATATATATATATATAAAATCACAATCAGCCAATCTAATGGCAGTAACTCAAGTTAGGCATATATATATACATACACACTGTATATACATACACACACACACACACACACACACACACACATATATATATATTAATATATATATACACTACCCTAAAGGATTATTAGGAACACCTGTTCAATTTCTCAATAATGCAATTATCTAATCAACCAATCACATGGCAGTTACTTCAATGCATTTAGGGGTGTGGTCCTGGTCAAGACAATCTCCTGAACTCCAAACTGAATGTCAGAATGGGAAAGAAAGGTGATTTAAGCAATTTTGAGCGTGGCATGGTTGTTGGTGCCAGACGGGCCGGTCTGAGTATTTCACAATCTGCTCAGTTACTGGGATTTTCCCGCACAACCATTTCTAGGGTTTACAAAGAATGGTGTGAAAAGGGAAAAAGATCCAGTATGCGGCAGTCCTGTGGGCGAAAATGCCTTGTTGATGCTAGAGGTCAGAGGAGAATGGGCCGACTGACTCAAGCTGATAGAAGAGCAACTTTGACTGAAATAACCACTCGTTACAACCGAGGTATGCAGCAAAGTATTTGTGAAGCCACAACACGCACAACCTTGAGGCGGATGGGCTACAACAGCAGAAGACCCCACCGGGTACCACTCATCTCCACTACAAATAGGAAAAAGAGGCTACAATTTGCAAGAGCTAACCAAAATTGGACAGTTGAAGACTGGAAAAATGTTGCCAGGTCTGATGAGTCTCGATTTCTGTTGAGACATTCAGATGGTAGAGTCAGAATTTGGCGTAAACAGAATGAGAACATGGATCCATCATGCCTTGTTACCACTGTGCAGGCTGGTGGTGGTGGTGTAATGGTGTGGGGGATGTTTTCTTGGCACACTTTAGGCCCCTTAGTGCCAATTGGGCATCATTTAAATGCCACGGGCTACCTGAGCATTGTTTCTGACCATGTCCATCCCTTTATGGCCACCATGTACCCATCCTCTGATGGCTACTTCCAGCAGGATAATGCACCATGTCACAAAACTCGAATCATTTCAAATTGGTTTCTTGAACATGGCAATGAGTTCACTGTACTAAAATGGCCCCCACAGTCACCAGATCTCAACCCAATAGAGCATCTTTGGGATGTGGTGGAACGGGAGCTTCGTGCTCTGGATGTGCATCCCACAAATCTCCATTAACTGCAAGATGCTATCCTATCAATATGGGCCAACATTTCTAAAGAATGCTTTCAGCACCTTGTTGAATCAATGCCACCTAGAATTAAGGCAGTTCTGAAGGCGAAAGGGGGTCAAACACAGTATTAGTATGGTGTTCCTAATAATCCTTTAGGTGAGTGTATATATGCTGCCTTGGTGAACATAGGGGACTAAAACTTTTTGTAATGTTTCCACATATTTGAAAGGTACTGTATATAATGCCACGTCTCACAAAAGAACAGGGGGTGTTAGGAGAGGAAGGAACAAGCATTAAGGCACTACAGCGTTACCTGGGGAGAAGGTTTCTGTGCTGTTTCCACTCCTGCCGTGCTCTCTGTCTTTGCTTGAGGTTGTTAAACTGCAGTGTCAGAGTGACGCCCAGCTGTAGAAGGGACAGCGCACCTAGCAGACGGTAACCGTTACTGATCCTTGGGTCATCGCCAGACACATTCCCCACTCTTAGCTAAAAAAAACACATTTACACAGAATATACTTTTACACTTTAGGAATATGATGTACACCACCATTCAAAAGTCAGAAAGATTCTTTTTTTTTAAACAAATGAACACGTTTATTCAGCACGGATACTTTAAATTGATTAAAAAAAAAGTGACTGTAAAGGCATTTACATTGTTACAAAAAAATCAATTGCTAATAAATGCTGTTCTTTTAAACGTTCTATTTTCATTAAGGAATGTTGAGTAAAAGTTACCATAATTTCCACAAAAAAACAAAATTAGCAGCACAACTGTTTTCAACATTGATAATAATCAGAATTGAGATCCATCAAATCAGAATATTAGAATGATTTCTGAAGGATCATGTGACACTGAAGACTGGAGTAATGATGCTGAAAATTCAGCTTTGCCATCACAGGAATAAATGATATTTGAAAATATATTAAAACATAAAAGGATATTTTAAATTGTAATATTTTACAATATTATTGTATTTTTTATCAAATAAAAAGCAGCCTTGGTGGAGCCTTGGAAGAGACTTCTTTCAAAAACATAAAACAAATCTTACAGACTTTTGAACGGTAGTGCAATTCAGAGTAAAACAGGATCAACAAGACAAAATTAGTTAGACTTGATTTTGGTGATCAGGAACTGATAGAATGGTGAGGAAAAGGCTCAAAACCTAAAGCTGCACTGATAGAGTGAGAAGTGGGTGTTTTTTAAAGCAATAACTTACAGAAAAAGTAGCAATGTAATTGCATGTTCTGGAGTATTCCACAGTATTCTGTGAAGCACCTTGGAGTACCATGTAAATACCATGACATGATTTTGGTTATTAATTAGTATCATATCATGTATTGAAGTAGCATGGTATTACGGTCTCTTACAGTCATTTTTCATAAGGTATATAACACAAATCCTCTGTGTTATTACTGTGCTTCATTAAAGGGTTAGTTCACCCATCATTAATCACTCACCCTCATGTCGTTCCAAACCCATAAGACTTTCGTTCATCTTCAGGACACAAATGAAGATCTTTTTCATGAAATCTGAGAGATTTCTGTCATTCTATTGACAGCTATACGACTGACACTTTGATGCTTCAAAAAGTTCATAAAGAGATTGTAAAACTAACCCATATGAATTGAGCGGTTTAGTCCACATTTTCTGAAGAGACTTGATCGCTTTATATGATGAACAGAATTAATTTAGGCATCACATTTAAACATTGATCAGCGAACATAAACAGAAGCTGAACCGAACCTGCTTGACGTGCGAGAACCTCATTGGTTCTTGCGGAAGCTCAAACGTGCTGCGTAACATGAGAATGATCCTCATTGGTTCTCGTACGTTAAGCGAACATGCTTGAGCTTCCGTTTATTATAACTGATGTGTGCGTTGATGAATGTTTATATGAATAAATTAAATCTGTTCATCATTAAAGCGATCGTGTCTCTTCAAAAAAAAATTGGCCAAAACCGCTCAAATCATATGGATTAGTTTTACAATCTCTTTATGATCTTTTTGAAGCGTCAAAGTGATAATTGAGCGACAGAAATCTCTCAGATTTCATCAAAAGATCTTCATTTGTGTTCCGAAGATGAATAGTCTTACGGGTTTGGAACGACATGATGGTGAGTAATTAATGACAGAATTTTCATTTTTGGGTGAACTATCCCTTTAATACAGCATATAAGAACTTATTCCCACAGTACAAGTTTTATAATAATAAAAGAACAAAAACTTACATAAGTAACACCTGCAGCTCTTTTACCGATGTGGTAAAAGGCTCCACTGATGTAAAAGACAGCCACATGTAGCCTGTACAGAAGAGTGATTCCCTGCTGCAGGGCAAACACAAGCGGAATCAAAGACTTCCTCTGAGACTCAGTCAGGATCCCCACAGCTCTCTGAATCCAGAACCGCACATGTGATAACGGGTTCCAGGCTCTGCTCGTCTGGTGCTGCGAGTTCTGAGGAGCTTCTGCTTCCAACTCATTCTCAACACAGATCAAGACCTTGTCCATAAGATAAGGCACAAATGTGTGGAAGAAGATAAGTGCCGTTCGGCGCATTCGCGAGGGGATTCTTCTCTCGCTGGGGTCCACCTGGATGATGCTGACATACTCCTCACCCAGGGTCTGATATCCTAAATGAAACGGACAACAGAAACGTGGCTCTGAAATACAACTCATTTAACAAATACATCAGCAGTGTTGCAATACAAGCGAATAACTTACCAGATAAAGTTGTTAGAACATAGTAGGTCAGATCAGATAGTAATTCAATTTCCTTTCTGCACTGTAGCCAACGTCTGGAACCTCAAGGGGAAAAACAATCTTTGAACGAACAGCTGTATTAAAAGGGACGCATCATGGAAAACAGGATTTAAAAAAATAATAATTCAGAATTGGATACCACTCTTGCAGTATGTAATATGTATACTGTGTGCACCAGTGTTATTTTAGTATTATTTATATACTGTTATAGTATTTATTCATATTTTGAATTAGCTTTTATTTTTATATTTTGGTTTCATTTTTTAATTTTTTTTGTAAATATTTCTATTTATAGGGGTTGCAAATTGTCACATGAACAAGCAAATCCACAAACAAAGAATAATAAAAATCATATAGGCTAATGCTAATTCATTTGGTAAAGTATTTAGATATGTCTTTGTCAATGTGTCATCTAAAATTTAAGAACTCTCATAAATACGACTTAAGACTTTTTATGACCTTAAATTGTAAAAATCTAATTTAATACTTAAGACTTTTTAAGGATCTGCGGGAGCGCTTGAACGCGGATATCGCGAGATTCACACTCATGCACGGTGTTGCTGATAAACGGGGTGTAATTTAAGTTCTGTAGCTTTTATATGAAAATAAATATAATAAACAAAGTACTTGTTAATTATTTCCATTCGAAAGACATGTTTAATATCAATTTTTACTTTAATTACAGACATGGTTTTATATTTTTTATATTTATGACAACACTCACATAACCCATATAGAGATCGCACTGTCAGAGAGAGTTCGGGAATATTCACACATTATTTATACATATAAAAAAAACATGATATCAGAGTTTTAAAATCAAACATTTTAAAAGAGAACAATACATCACGATTCTTTAAACCAATGAGCATTAAGCTGTGTCGTCAGCATGTGATATTTTTTCCAAAACCAGGGGCACGTTCAAGTTCATAACGGTGCGCAACGTTTTGCTACGGTTTCCGGGTTGAACGTCATGTTTCCTGGAAACGGCGTGCACCGGTGTGCAACGGGGTTTGAGATACGTTTTCTCTTATTTGGTGGGTGTGTCAGAACTGCAGTCCAATCAGCAGCAACATGTATATAAAGCACGCGGTATTAAAGTGAACTCGCACAATGGGTTTAAGGAAAGTAATTTACAAATGTGTTCGATGCAGCTCGGTATACGCAACAACTGAGGATATTAGAAGACATGTTTGTCATAAGTTTTATTGTAAAAATATAGGATACCAACATAATGATGTAGTTGTTTATATTTTTAGCTTCATTGCAAGTCTATGACATTTGGTATAGAAATAAACAATGGTAATTAAGTGCTTTTCCTAAAAATGAGAAAGAAAATACAGGGTATTAAAACAGGATGAACTACAAATAAAGTCAGTATGTGAGGCTAAATACTTAGATGTGTTTTAGTCTGAATTAGGTAAGATGTGTGCTTCCATTTCAGTTTCCACAAATCCCTTCACTCGATTGGGATGTTCTCTTGTGTTCTGGGCGGCAAGTGCAGTAACTGTAACATCGGGCATATTTTGTAGTATTAAATAGAGCCCGACCGATATGGATTTTTGGGGGCCGGTGCCGATACCGATGAAAAAAAGCCAGATACCGATATATCGGCCGATATTACTTATGTGTATATTATAATACAGTAGCAATTATGTATGTGTATTATAGTACAGTACCAGTCAAAAGTTTGGACACCTATTGGTGTGTACAAACTTTTGATGGGTACTGTATATAGAATACACAGTAAACAGAATAATTATATAAACGTTTTGCAATGATCACTCAAATGTGGTGATCAAACACTTGTGTGACAAAGATATGTAATGGAGACAGGGTGAATGATAGAATGAGAATGATACATTTGAGCTGTAACCAAACTAGTTTGCATTTCATGTTATATTATATTATTATATATTCTAAGTACTGTTGCATAATCTTCACTAACGACTTTCTTTTAATTTAGTCACGTTATATAAAACATAACTTGTATCAATAAATATATCAAAAGTGTCACTAACAAAACCTTATTATCTTCTATTTTTATCTTTATCTTTACTTCATATTTAAAAATAGTATAAAAGTACTGTACATATGTAATTATAAACGTTTTCATTAAGTAGTAAGCAAAATGTCCTAAACGTGAAACATAGTGTTGTAATTATATAAATTATTACTTGTGTAACGTAGCGTTATAGGCAGAATGAGCTTCAACACTGTCTACACCGGACACGGCCGTTATTGCTCGCGTCGCAACAGCTGTTTACCCTCGACGCGAAAAAGCGCCCGTTAAAGCAGAAAGGGGCATCAGTTTACTGTCGGAGTTTTGTCACTCGCGCAACGCATTTTAATCAATGTTTCATCAACCAATTGCCTGGATTTAATACATAAGAAGTAAATATAGCAGACAATATAATCAGGACTTCTCAGCTGCACGCTTTCCATAGTCATCACAAGCTCACACAATACGTGACAGAGGCTGGTAGCAGAGAAATCAATTCTGTGAATTACACTGCGCAAACCAAAAGTAATAGGCTACTACCCACCGGATGAAGAAGGGTTGGCTCTCAACAGAACATAAAATATTCATTTTATTTTATTTTTCGTGTTCGAATTTATGAGGAAAAAACAATGGATGTGACAACCTCTGAAAGCGGCACTAAAGTGCTTTAAAACTTTCGCATAGACCTCAAACAGAAAGCACAAAGCCTTTCATTAAAGTGAATTTCGTTTTGTATTAATTGTATCTTAATTTTAATCAATGTTTCATCAACCGATTGCCTGGATTTAATAAATAAGAAGTAAATATAGCAGACAATAGATAATCTCGACACGGAGGCGCCGGCGCGTGAACTACAACTAGTCTCATATAGTGTTGCACGGTGCACCGATACTTTAAAAGTATCGCGATTCTCGGAAATTAAAAACGTCACGATACCTAAATTTATTAGTATCAATACTTCTAAGAATGACCGCGTTCCAGATTTGTAAGAGACGTATTTTTGTCCCGCCAAAGCCTTATTTGACCGGTGAGTGATGTAGATGAGTGACTGCTGCGCTTGTTTAACTGAGAGAACGAGCAGAGAGAGTGAGAGCCCCGGTCGCACGCGCGCACTCTCACCGTCTTCAAAACTGCCTCGCTCTTTGTCCCTCCCTCGCGCATATTAATGAATTGAGTTGACTGAATATCGTTGAGAATATACACGATGGTTAAAGGTCGGAAGACCGAAGTTATTTTTTTTCTAAACTACCACTGGTTGTGAATTGTGCTAAAAATAATTGCCTTATCTTCTCTAGAAAGCGTTCCACACATTCAGATGACATAAACCACACTTTCAATAAACAAACAAAAAAATCTATCCAGTGATGAAATGTTTTGTGTGTTGAGACAAATCTTGTGCGATGTCCTAAACTGCCTGGATAATCACACAACGTGTGCCGTGGTCCGTTAACGACACGTCCGATTCGCGAACTAATGACTCCTTTGAACCGATTCACTTTAATGAATGGTTAAAACAACTGATCTGTCCAACACTGAACTCAAGAGACATAACAAATCGGAAACACTTTATAAATGGGTTCCATTTATTAAAGTCTAGTTAACTACATTAGTTAACATTCTATTAATATTACTTTCTATGCGGGTTTACTCCATGACAGAACACCCCAGTCATTCTAGAATGATTCATTCTTTCCAAATAGAGCTATTCAAGTCATCTGGTGAAATTGTTTTTATATCGCAATATATATTGCAGAAAAATAAAATATCGCAATGTCATTTTTTACCAATATCGTGCAGCCCTACCTTGAATGTCATTGCTCTAATTTATTTTTTATATTTTGATATTTCATATTTTGTTCAAATGTTTAATATAGCCTATCTGCTGTTCATATGTTCATTTATTAGTGTGTTATATGATTAGAATGTTGTCCCGGTTTTCAAATAAAGCACAGCAATGATATTTGAGAGTGTTTCTCCCTTTTCAAGAAAAGTATCGAAAAAGTATCGAAACCGCAATTCTTGACTTGGTATCGGTATCGAAACAATAATTTTGGTATCGTGACAACACTAGTCTCATAAATGAACCGAAACTCAGCGTATAGATCTGAGAAATATATATATTGAAATGTCTAATTTTAAACAGAACAATTCAAAACAAAAGACAGACTGCTCTCTGCTGTAATCCGTATGAAATGTGCATTTCTCTCTGGCGTGTTCACTGAAGATCGCGAGTCAGCGTTGTCAACTTTGCAGCGACAGTGACTGAAAACACTTGTTTATTAATAAAAAATTAAAATGTCTCCTTGCTATATTTGATGTATTCACAATCATTACTTTTGCCAGTTCTTTGTGACAGCTTTTATGTGCTTTATTGGCAGCGCAACCCTTACATGAATCACCGCACCCGCATTTTAAAAAAATATTCATTTATCGGCCATTTTAAATGCCGATACCGATAGTTAGGAAAATGCCTAATATCGGCCCGCCGATAAATCGGTCGGGCTCTAGTATTAAACACATATTTATACCGACTTCATCAGGCTCCGAAAACTATTCACAAAGAACACAAAGAATGGTCTTCTCAGCTGCCATAGTTGCAACTCTTGCGTCATCAGAACAGTGTGTTCAACGCATCAACGTTTCTGTTTAAAAAACTTTGTGCAACGTTTTGTCGGGGCTGAACGCAGCCCAGTTCAGTGGAAATCCCACCCTGCCGCTAATTGGTTAAGTTTACAGTGACGGGTAGGTTTAGGGATCAGTGTTTGGTGTAGGCATTCAGTACAGTGATTGACATCACCAATGAAATATTTAGAATCGGCTACAGGGTTCGGCAACTCGTTTCCCATCATGCTTTTGATCAACGCAGTCGGTGGAGAGCAACTGCGCCCGACTGCAGAATACAGTCTCGCGTCGCGAGAGTTTTTTGACACACGTCAGCATGACACTCGGACACATTTCTAACCGGCATGCATTTCGTGGTGATCAGAGGTGATCGGTTCTGCGCAGATTTTGCTCATCTCAAACGAGCCTAATGCTAGTACAATCGACAGGTGTGTGGTCTCGGTGTCCGGACCAATCTTCTAGTGTGTGTATATTCAGAGGATTATTTTATAATGCTAAAAATGGGTTGAAACTGCCTTTATGTCTGTGGTCACCCACAGTTTTAAAATCGGTTAAGATTTGAAAATCGTCAAGTGTGTCCTAGGCCTAATAAGAGGCCTCTCTTTCTTGTCTCTCTTTTCTCTTATCATTTGATCAAAATAACAGTTCAGACATTTTCACATAAAATTGGATGCCGTTTCTCCAAGATTAGCATTAGTGTTGTAAAGAGCGCCAATTTCCGCCAAAAATATAAACAATGTACAACACTGCTATTTAAAGTGTTTATAGGAGTATTTTGTGTACTTCACATATTGTGTATTTTACATAATGTGTATTTCACATATTATTAAATATACAGTAGGAACTATACAGCATACTGCACATTAAGCTACTATTCCATTTTGAACAGCATATTGAAACTACCCTGAAAAAGTTGGCCTTTTAATGGTCATAATTATTATACCACACCTACATCATATTAGCATATGACCGCCCAAAAATAATGTTATTTTAAAATGTCTAAAAACTAAATTATAACTGTGCAAGATATGTTGATTTATAAGTAGTCTTATTGAAAACAAATAGTTGGGAAAAGCTAAATAAAATGTAGAAGTGTAGAATAAGCCCTTTTAAAATCCCTAAAACATGCATTCAGTGTGCTTGGGATTGCTTTACCTGCAAAGGTGTGGACGAGCTCATTGGCGTTGTTTGTCAGGTTGTTCTGGTAGAACTCATCCTTCTGACACGAGCGGATCAGCTGCGGCTGGTTCGCAGGGACTAGAGGCATTGCTCAGTTCGGAAGACGTTAACAAGATCCTTAGAGAACGTGTTTATACTAGCAGTTTATATATATATATATATCATTTTACAAAAATAAACAAGGATATACAGCGTTTATGGCTCTATTTGCTGGTCTAGATCACTTACTGTGCATGCTTCTAACGCTTCCGTGTTTAGTCATGTGATGCTCACGCGAGCACTCCATTGGCCGGTTGGTAACAGACGGTTCATTGATTTGCGATCAGTTTTGCGGTTTGCCGTCCACAACAGCAAACTCGCCTTACTGAGCTGAGGTCAGTATTTAGAAAGTGAGATTATGGTTCAAATCACAGACTGTAAAGGTTCAAATCGGTTCATCACCAGAGAAGTGACCTGTCTATGGAAGTGACGGCGCAAACGAATAAATACATTGAACCAATCTTTTGGTAGGCTATATAAAAAAATAATTTGCATTTTTATTTATAACGCTAGTGATAGTTTACGAAGTTTCCGCCACACAGAATAAAAAAATACAAAGGGTAATTGCGACTTTTGCCTCACAATTCTGACTTTTTGCTCACAATTATTTTACATCTTGCAATTCTGACTTTTTGCCCCTCGATCAGTTTACGATTGCGAGTTATAAAGTCAGTATAAAGAGTTGTGAGATATAAACTCGCAATTTTGAGGAAAAAAAGTAGTTTTTTCCTTCTCAGAATTGCGAGGAAAAAATAGTGAGAATTGAGAGATAAATTCGCAATTATCTTTCAAATTGTTTTATTACGGCGTAAACATGCTTAGCCTACATAGTTTACAACATGGCTTAGGCTAGTTACATAGGTCTATTTTCAGTGATGGCCCATCTATCATAGCATAAACAAATCTCATGCATTATCTCATTAATACAGGCTATTGCTATTTCTTAAAAAAAAAAATTTAAATTGAAAACCACAGCTTATTCACACTTGAACTGAAACATCAGGGTGAGTAGTTGCATTGCATTCAAACTGTAGCCTGTGCTATGTTTGTGTGTGCTATGGCACTTTTTGTGTGTGTATTCTATGTATTGACCAAATGTAGCCAACATACTGCACAGTATGGATAAACTGAGAGTAAGAGTATTATGGTATTATGTATTATGGTTGAACTATTGACACTATTGACATTCCTAACACAGGCAATGTCATCATCATCAATGATCATTTACTAAATGAAATCCATTTATGATCTCTATATTACCGGTATTTGCATCATTCTTCTGTATCCGTGCACTTTCATTTGCTCTCTCTAGCTGTTCACAAGTCAGCTCTTTTTACAAGGTTGTAAAACCTGTTTCTTTGTTACTCTAATGCGTTTAGATCAGTCCAAACCATTGAAATTCTTAACACACACTCTAACTTTATTCAGCTCTTTCCTCAAGCTGATCACGAAACCCATTAAGGTCAGATTGCAGTCTTGCAGAAGGCTGTTTACTCACAGCGCAGTCAAGGGAGCACCCTACTGTTTACATTTGAGCAAGTGATGTCTTTATTTCTCATTGAGACTCCCGTGTGACTTCTTGCAGGCAGAGGTGAGGTCGTGCAGAGGACAGCTGAGGAGACCTGATCGTGGATGGAGCAGCAGTAGAGCCGTCTGAGGTAGGATGCTATGAATCATGGAATTAAGAGTCTGCTTGGTAATTTCATGTGCATAGAGATACTAGGCTTCAATTAGGAATGCACAAGTGTTGTAGTAGCAGAGAACTCACTTTAGTTTTTAGCCAGGCCTTGGAAATGGATGTATGAAGGTACTGAACTTGTAGTAGGCCTATACTTCAAATCTTAAAAGTATTTAAAATTAAAAAAAAAAATATCCTGTACTTGCAGATAATATAATATAAAATAAATAAAACACCTTATAAAAGACTTTAGTGTACTTACATAATAGAGACCTTCCATGATTTTTTTCCATGCAATTTTAAAAAGGGAACTTTGTAATAATGTCAAATGTTTTACTTTTAAAGTATATTGTTTCGATAAACTCTTGCGTGCTTTAAAGTACACTTATTTTGATGTGTCGACTACTAAAGCACATATAAGTACTTGATTATAACTTGTGGTGTGTTATTTAATATTATATTTAAAGTTAATATATTTTAAATGTTTTGAATTGGAACTTCATCATTACAAATGTGTAATTGCAAATATATTTAAATACATGATACAAGTTTTTATAGAAATGACATTAAAGTATATTTAAGTTTACCATATGCTTGTCAGTACATTTGGCAGTGCACTTTAACCATATTTCAAGGACGATAGATGTAATTATGAAATTAAATATAAATATGTATTTATGTCCTGCTTAAGTGTTCAAAATGCACTCTAAAGTTCAGCTTATTGCATTTAATGTAAATTTAAACTATGATACATTTTCATTTAATTGCAATTAACATGCCATTATGTAATCAAAAAACATTACATTCAGTTCGCACTTCTTTTAAGTATATTATTTCCATAATGAGTGTTATTTTTGCACAAGGGATTGTTGAATCATTTCCATAATGAGAGTTATTTTTACACAAGGGATTGTTGAATCATATAGAGTATAAACAAACATATTTCTTTCTGTCAGCCAGAAAGAAGTAGTTATTTGAACAAGGTTGACAATACTGCAATATAATGTTCTTTGTGGAAAATATTATACACTTACACGCAGAAACACAATTTTTTTATATTATGAGAATATGAGAAGAACCTGGGTGAGAAAATACTGAAAGCCCCTAACAAAAATAAATCAGTAATGAAAATTATACATATATATATATATATATATATATATATAATTTTTTTCTTGTATAATTTTTATGGATAAATTACAATATCCCACAATGGACAATAGCCTATAGGTGGGATAAGAAGTAGACATGCTGCTTTGCACCACTACTCGAGTTCTTACAAGGTCTAGTAAAATATCACACTTTGCTCATTTGGTAACATTTTTATTACACAGTGGGCCAATAAAATATGAAATGGTGTTATGGGAAGTCACATCAAAGGACTTGAACCCTTTTTGCGCAGATTTATGAATGCACAGCAGACAGCACCTTCTGAATGTGTTAGCGTGAATATTTCAAGACAATATCAAGCAATTGCTTTGTTGAGCACTGCACACTTGGTTGCTTCTATTAAAGGATCCCATAGAGCAAGATTAGTCATTAAATTCATATTACCATGGTTGCATAACATCATTTAATGTGTTTAGAAAGTAACTGATTTACCTTCAACCCATTTACCTTTTTACCTGGCCTATCTGAAACACGTCTCTACACACAAAATGACGGGATTTTAAAAGTTGCAACACCTTTCTGCTGTATGCTAATGCAATAGAGGGAATGCATTAACGTCACTCTCCCGCCGGAACACGCCCCCCTCAGCCGGACTGAGTGGCAAAAGAGCTGCTGCGTGGCTGGAGTTAATAGGGGAAACTGCGAAAACGCGGGTAAAACAAACTATTATCAGTTTAAACTAAAAGTTGGACTCGATATAGTGTTCCTTACAACTTATCAAAGATCCAGTGATCCATGGATATTGACATGCAGCCAGGAATCGTGTTTCCTGACATTTATATGTGCCTGATTTCGACGCCGGGGAAATAAATTAAGAAAATTTGCCTGTAAACGTTTTATATAAATACAATATAGATAGGTCTAAATCCGAGTGATCACTTACATTAATGTTATACTGTATATCATCATATCGTCCAGCCCTAAAACTTGTATAGTTTTTTGTCAGTGTTTATTTAAAAACATCCAATTATGCAGAATATAGTCTGTTCTGTAGCTTTTTGCAGTCTGTAAAAATATACAGTACCTCAGATTTCTGGTCAAATCTAGTTGTACAGTCAATCGCAAAGCTCTTTCCCCTTGTTCCCCTTTCCCACTGTTACAATTTCCCCCCTTTTAGACATTCTGTTGACTATAAGTAACGTTGCACCTACATGTCAACTAACAGTCATTAGAGCATTAGTAGAGTATTAGTAGACTGTGAAGGTGAAAGTGAGTAGAATAAGTGGACATGCACTTGCAAAGTTTCAGTGGAATGTCTGTTGGGGAGCATCAAAATAAAGTGTTAACAGATATTAAGCGGACGGTCTACTAATACTCTAATGAGAGGTAGCCTAGTTGACATGTAGGTGCAACGTTACTTATAGTCAACAGAATGTCTAAAGGGGACCATCAAATGTAGTGTTACCGTGATTCAAACTCAATTCAAGATGATTTAAACAACAAAATGAAATATGTTGATATGTGAATAAACTTCCTTTAAAACTTGCAGACAATATGTCTATTTCCCGTACACTGTAGCTGTCTGCACTCCACCCCATATCCCGCCCACCTGTGCAAAGACTCCTCTGCCTTTACTTGTCTGATTTCGACGCAGGGAAAACTGTTGCTCCATAAGGGAACACCCACTGTGTACAAAGAGCTTTCAAATGACAACTTCCTTTACCTGCAATATGGGGCTGTGTGCCTGAAGCTTTTTGCCTGCAATAAAAAAAAAGGCTTATTCTTTGTACAGAGCTGTTAAACAAGTGCCTGGAGAAGTGTTTTACTCACTATCACATCATCTGTGAACTAGCCTACCTGCTTCTGTTCCTACAAGACCCACTTTCACAAAGGTAACGTGAGACTTTACAATACTTTCACAGTTTACTTTTCTTTTCAACATTTAGTAGGAGATTTTACTCGGGCGAGTTTACTCTGAAAAGATTTTCTGGCGCATGTCTGCATAGATGTAGAACTGTGGATGAAAGATTGGAAAGTTTGTTGCTTAGTTTCACTTGGGCTTTTTTTTTTTGAGAGCTTTGTATTCTGAAACTCAACACTTCTCATCTGGGTGCTCAGGTAGAAAGAATGAAAAGAAAGAAAGACACGATAAACTTTTGAGGGGTCTGTTGGTACGTTTTATGTGATTGTGATGTGACAGTTAATCTCACAAAAACATGTCCAGGTTATATTTTTCCCCAAAATCAAGTAAAGTGAAATTATAATTTTTCTATAAAGAAATAGTTTGTTACTTTTTTCTTTTTTCTTTGCATTGTATCATCATTTTCATGACATTTCAGCACATTTCTCCTGACAAATTCTCATTCACATGTTTTTTTGTTCGTTTGTTTTTTGCTAATTTATAATATTATCAATGATTTTTCTCATTAGACTCTCATTACTGTAATACTACATTTTTGTTTACACTTTATTTTAAGGTGTCATTGTTACAGTGTAATTATATATTTAAGTACTGAGCAATATTAAGCAACTACATGTACTTACTATAGGGTTAGGTATAGGATTAGGATTTGGTTGAGGGTTAGTTGCATGTAATTATGCATCATTTACTGTTATTACTATGGTAAGTACATGTAACATATGTAACAAGGACACTGTAAAAATAGTGTTACCATAATTTGTATTGTATATTCATTACACATTTAAAAAAAATACTGTGCTGTAATAAGACTGCGAATTTGTTTGGAAAAATTTGTTATTTTTAATGTAATATCACAAGTTTCCTGCGATTCCTCTATATAAACAGTTTTTTTCTGCATACTCATTGGAGAAACCTGATTTAATCTGTGTCTGTTACATTTGGCCTGTGCTTCAGGCTAAACATGAATCAGGCAGCCATAAATTAAAACCTAACCGGTGTACTTAGGCAGGGAACACCCTTCTATCTATGTCATTTCAGATGTTTATGTCCAATGATTATGATTCATCTTTAGTTCCATTTAAAGTAGATTTCGTTTGTCAGTGTGGGTGACACAGTTATGCTCCCTGTTTCCTTTGGAAATCTCAACCCAAACACTGCGATGTGGGACGTCTTGCGAGTTGCAATGCGAACTGGTCGGCTGAATCTGAAATAAAAGCTCTATTGTGTCATTCTCTCTGTGTAGTGGGGGGAAACTCTGAGCGATCGACGGTCACCGGCCTGCCAGCTGGTACACCATTAGCTTGTCAACACACATCTGCTATTTTTCCATATGGACAACAGGAAAAGAAAGAAAAACAACTGTAAACCAGTAGAGTTATACAGACGTTTGGCTTTCAGATACTGGAATGTTGTTTGTGCTGTGATGGTGTGTGTTTGGTTCAGCCAGATCGCCCAGATCTCATGTTACGTTGAGGATTGAGTGCATTGTGTTGAGTGCAGGCTTGTTCTCGGGGGATGTTTAGATCAACCATGTGTCTTTGTTATTGCTTCACAAAAACGGCTTCACTTATCTGAAAGCAAATGATCTGCTGCACGTTTGATTGATAATGACACTCTTTTTGTTTTTCTTATGTTGAAGGGAAGGAAATTAAGGACAAACATTTGCATACACACTGCGTTTCCTATCAGTGTTAGGCTTAGGTTGAGCACACAATGGCTTTTGTGCGTCTTTCAGTAGCAGATTTAAAGAGGTGCCAGCGTCCGAATAGATGTTTTGTGAGGCAATACATCTTCCTTACTCCCTTAAAACTAAGGGTTCAATTGTCTCTGCCTCTGCTTTGAACCTGAGTGAATGAGAGAGTGTGTAAACAACAGTGCTTCTGATTCATTCCAATCTCTGACCTATTTCAGTCATTAATCTTCAGATACCTTTGATGTCACATTAATATTGAATAGACGAGTGAACCTCGCGAACAGGTTACATTTCAACAAGTATTTCATTTGAAGCATTTATTGTGACTGAATTATCATTACTGTAATTTGTCCAGGAGGTGATTCTCATTAGATTCTTATTAATGCAATGCTCCACTTTACTGTAATATAATCTTTTAGCATTTGATTCCGGATAAATGACACATAGTACAACAAATGCTATCACAATAAATAATAACTTACAGTTAGTACAACAAAAATGTACAAAAAAAAGCATTATTATAATCAAAATGAATTATTATTATTATGCTACATTACACATAATGCGAGGGTGAGAATGCACTTAATTGCCATATAAATAATGTCCCATTTTTATTTTTATTTTCTTTATGCTAAATATAATTTCTTGCATATGGCTGGAATAAAGTAGAATCTGCACACCAAATCACAAATTTGTGTCAGTTCAAAAATATTGTACAAAAAAAAAACAATCAAGGTTTTCTGAAGAAATTTATAAAATATGCACAACAATTACCACTAGTACAACTTGTCTTGACTTACTTGTTTTGCAGCAACGTACCCAATAATTATTTACAACATATAATTTGGCACAGGTGAATGAGATTCGCCCATATCACATTAGTCAAGTCAAGTCACCTTCATTTATATAGCGCTTTAACAATATACTGTAGATTGTTTCAAAGCAGATTTACAGTGATAATAGGAAATTACAGTAACAGAGATTGTTTTGGCTTTACAGCAGCTCTTAAATAAATATATTGTCCAGCTAAATTTATTAGACAATATTTATGTCTATTTATATAGTGCATATTAAAGATATTTGTAATGCATGACAATGCATTCATAATGCCCTATAATACATAGTTTAATATGTTGTATGTTCTTGTGAAAGAGTATAGTGCATTATAATATAATATAACAATTAAAAATAATTGTTTATGTGTCACAGTAATAATGCATTATACTCTTAAGGTGTAGTCATGAATATAAGTATTATAGAGTTTTATAGGTGGTTGTTTTTCATAGAAAGACATCATGCTTTACAGTTTTTATTAAAAAAAATGCATACAGTAAATCTTATAATGCTTCAAATGCATTATTATTGTCACGTCCCTCAAAAGCAAAACAAAAACGAAGAATATCTTTATAATGCATATTATATAGGCTACAGGCATCAAGTGAAGCATTTTCAAATAGACATCCATTGTTGTGTCTACTGAGGAATTTAAGCCAGACAGATTTGTTTTAGCTGAGACTGGGGTGTTTTTTTGGGGGGCGGGGGCCGGGGGGGGGGGGGGGGGGGGGGGTTTGTAACCCCTCTCATCGTCTTATCTGTTACCTGAGGCCAGGTGTTACTTTGCTGACACGTCCAGTCCTGCATCCTCAGGTAACAACATGTCACGTCAAACACAGCAAGCACTCGAAGTGAACATTCAAGCCATTGTTCAGGTTAGCAGGTAGTTGACATGTCTCTAGCACAGCTCCAGGTTGATGGGTGGACGGTTGAGGAGGTTCCCCCCTTCCATGTACAGCGCTTTGAGTGCAGAGAAAAGTGCCGTATAAATGTAACAAATTATTATTATTATTAAAGTCACACTCCTGACAGAGTGGAGAGTGAAATTCAGAAAGAGGTCCTAAAGAGATCAGCAATGATTACAAAGGGAGTGTTCAATTGTTGTTTCTCTCTTGAAGTATAGACTTCACTGATAAGACTTGAGTGATTACATCATTTATTTTCCATCCCTACAGTAATATGAAAGTTTCCATTCATTCCTATGTTTATATGTATGTGTTTCTGTGACATGGTATCTAGTACTTGGATGAGGTACCAAGATAATACTGTGTTTTTTAAACATGGCAATACACCGTTTTGTCGGGGGTCAACAATGTTAATAACACGTTCTTTAGGATATGGTCAGTGCTCGAAGTGCTCGAAGGCTGGTACGCACCACAGTTCCGTTCACTTCTATATTTCAGCGTATACCCTTACTTTTTCTTGCGTACCGGCATTTCTCAAGTTACAGATCTGGAAATCTGTCAATAAAATCTGTCAACAACTGTCTCATAAAATGTGTGTCTAAATGCTTAAATCATGACTTTAAAACTACTGAATTTTTCAGGGTGGACCTGCCAATGCGCATGTGCAGTCATAAGCGTCCATGCGCTACTTTATGCAGAAGGCGGGACTTATTCTGCCATATTGCGCATTGTACCTTCTCCCATTCATAGTAATATGAGTGCACGCCTTTGTATATCTAAAAGTCTTTGGTACAAGTCAGTTCTTTGGTATAAGTCAGTACTATGGTATACATTAAAGGACCATCTAATATAACCATTGTACCATGTTATTAAAGGGATAGTTCACTTTGAAATTAATTTTTATATCGTGTTTACCTCTTGAAACGCACAGACCGAAGTGCCCACGTCCTCAGATCACTTGGACGTGGCTGTGGTTACAAGAGGTAAAAACGATATAAATACTGTTCGTTTTCTCACACAAACCGCTCGTTTCGTGTCTTAGGCCATCAATGTGTACTTACATTTACGAGTCATTAAATCATGTTTAATTTGGACTTCTCTGTGCATGCTCTTTGAGGTGGTGACCATAGACCTGCATTATATGACTGACAGACAAGAACGGTTTGACCTAAAAATATCAAAATTGAAACTAATGCGGAAACAAAGACACCTACATCTTGGATGCCCTTGAGGTAAGCTAAAACATACCAAAAATTAATTTCAAAGTGAACTATCCCTTTAAGCATAACATTGGGGCAGTCGTGGCCTAGTAGTAAGAGAGCCAGACTGGTAACCCGAAGGTTCGCGGGTTCGAGTCTCAATACCAGCAGGAAATGACAAGCAAGGCACCTAACAAAAATTGCTGCCGACTGCTCCGGGTGTGTGTGTGTCCACAGTTTGCGGTCTGTGTGTTGTGTGTTCACTACTCACTGCTCCTAATGTGTGTGTGCATTAACTTGAATAGATTAAATGCAGAGGACAAATTTCAAGTATGGGTTACTTGGCCTTCACATGAATGCATGTTTAAAAGCAGTCACAACTGATGCCATTGTCTTCAAGGTTTTCCTTATGTTTGTCAAAATCCCTACTCGATTACTGTTTCACTCTCACACATTAGGGGCTTTCGCACCGGAGGAACCTTTTCATAGTTCCTAGAACTATTGGAGGATTAACCCAGATTTTGGCGTGTTCTCGGGGAACCATCCTGGTGGCTAGTTCCTAGAACTACCTGGTGTGAAAGCGCCTTATTAATGAGCTCAAAGACGATTGGTCAAAACAGTAATTAATCGAAAAATGTATTGGTTGAAATCATTAATGCATGTCATGTTTGTTTAATTAAGCACAAAATCACATATTGAATTTAAAAAAAAATACAATTTTGTTGGGTATTTTTATGTGATAGTGTTGTATTTGTTAATGTTATTCAAAATCATATTACTTGTTTATGATATTATTAGATGGTGTCTTTGCAAGTGCACTGTAAAAAAAACGATTTATCGAAATAAAATAGAAATGATTAGACTACGTTTTTACAGGAAAATGCTATTTCAGGCGTTTTACTTCATAATTTCATGTTTAATTCGATGTGTTACTTTTTTTTTTTTTTTTGTAAATCCTTCATTTTTCATTGTATAAGAAGTACGTTTGTTTGAGTAGTTTGTAAAGCCTTGTATTTGCCCTTTGTTAACAGGTGTGCACCCCGCTGCTCGTGTGGTTTTGTTCCAGGCCATCAGTACACTGACCTCGTCCTGTCTGAAGGTCAATTACTGGCTGTGGAGCTCCTTCAGATGGTTGTACCACACCTCCAACCCTAAACACTCCCAAACCCAGACGTCCCACCAACTGACTCTGCCTGAACATCTGCTAAACTTCCTGCATTTTTCAACTAAACACTGGAAACCAGGAGGAGAAGAGCACCACTGGGAAACAACAGACAGCTTTTTTTTCTGGAATTTTTAGAACCTAAATCATACATGACTGTTCCTGGGGTTGTTTAACATTTTTGGATTCCCTTTGAATTAAAGAAACTAAGCAATATGGATACAGTATCTCTGAACACCTCCCTGTTCTCTGGCAGTCAGAGCATCAGTACGGATTCTCCCAGTTTGTCCATGAGATCTTTAGGTTTCACCAATGACACGGATTCTTCCCGCAGCAGCACACTCTTACACTGGAACTTCTTTCTGGCTGGCAACTACATCAGTGTGGGTGAGTTCTTTTTATACAGTTATAAAAAAAGACTCAAGGAAAAGTTCACCCAAAAACATAAAAGTCAATACCCGGTCATTCTAAGTCATTTTGTTGGAGCAACATGTGTAGAATTTTTCATAAAACAACTTTTAATAATGACCATGTCTGTCATAACGAAACACACAAAAGCTAAATAAAAAGTCCCTGAAGCTTGCGTCTAACCCCCCCATGTTCAGATTCAAAGATGACGTATCTGCATCACTTCATCAAATTTAATAACTTAAGTCAGTTATGGCAGACCTTTTATTTTTTTGGTGAACAATTCCGTTAATATCGCTTAGTGGCTATTTGCTGCGCTCATGTAAGGATCAATATTTGCATGAAGGAATACTTTCAAACTCCAAGTGTATTTTGGAATGTTTGGAGATTTTGCTGTTTAAAATATGAGTTTAATTTGTTAGAGAGATTTGTTCCATAATATTTGTAGCTAAAGTCAATCATATTTCAAGACTAAACAAATTAGTCGCAGAGCTCTATCCAGACTTCTTTTAATCCAGATTCCAGACTCAAAGAAATCATGTCGTACTGTCATTTTTGCTGCTGGTAAAAGATGTACAACATCTCCTGACTCACTATGTGTTATCCCCCTTAATGAATCACTTATTGTTCACAAAGCTCCTGAAATGTATGTTTATGATGGCTGTTTTACACTGCAGCGATCAGTTTATTGGCTGTGTCTGACTCTTTCATGTATGTGAGGTTATCTCTCGAATCACCGTCTAATCGCATAGCACAAAGTCTAGATCAAATTAAACAGCTGGTGCTGCAGACAATTCGCCGACATTCAGCTTGCTTCTTCCTCGCGAATGAAGGACTTGTGTTTTGTGGTTTGTGTAAAGCCCCAATGGCATTAAAAAGTGAAGATCTTTCTCTAACACTGAAACATAGAACATTATTTTTATATCTCACATTTTGATCTTAAAAATATGAATTATACATATAATGTACACCGTTTGTGCTGCAAATTATTAATCTACAAAATCACTTTTTGTTATTTAACCTGTAGAATGTCTTGCCCACTAGACTTCCATTGTACGTTTATTATTATAAATGTCATATTTGTTTACTTTTACAAACTAAGGATTGAGTGTTTAACCAGTATCAAATTTCCGAGGTCAGTGTTTGAGTTAATTCAAAGTGTTTTATACTCTTTGGTAAGTGCTAAATTGCCATGACAAATCTCTAGTGATGCTAATTTCCGCAATCACAGACATGTACATGTAAATGCTGGGAATCTAATTACTGTGAACATTTCTCGTGGATTTATTTAAGCTTGCATGTCTTTGCTGTCTCAATAAGGGCAATTACTGGTAATAACTTGTTGAAGGAGATTAACACATAAAAACAATTTGCAACATCAACAGGATTCCATAACATTTACATAGGGACATGTTTCAATTAAAGGTCAGTTTAAAGGCGCCTTGATTTGATTTTGATAGCATGCTGCTTTACTATTTCTTTTAAATGAATTTATCCTCATTTGTTCCGACTGGGCGGGTTATTAAACGGCTGTGTGTGAGCATTAGAGAATTCCCCTCACACAGATCTTACTCTACATAGCTCATTTCCTTGAAGGAATTCAAAGTTGGGTTCAATAAGTGTTGTGCCACATTCAGAACTCAATTGAGAATGGAAACTCAATTTAATTCCAACGTTTAAGCAAACAAGATTTTAGATGTGTATGTGTTTGAACTAAAGGACATGTAATATTATTGTATTTTATTGAATTGAATCTTTTCTTATCATTGTGGAACAACACTTTGTTACATTAATTTACCCTGCAGTCCAGAGGCAAACAACATGAAGCAGGCTTGCATTATTAATTGCATTAATAATGATATCATTATTTAAGGTTTCGTTCAAAACTTGTTTGAATAATGAAATTAATTTTGAATTCCTGTAGATTGCAATTTCAGTAAATTCTGCTTGTCATCCCAAATTCAACATCCTGTCTATTGTTGCCAATTTAATTGAACTTCTTAATTTGAATTAACCAACCACTATCGCTGGTTTCTGCTTCTTCTTAGGGCCTGTTTACATGACACCGTTTTCAACTAAAAACGTAAAAAAATGTATGCGTTTTGGCCGTTCGTTTACATGACAACGGCGTTTTGGCTGGCTGAAAACGGGTTTCAAAGTGCAAGTTTCTGAAAACTGTCTCCATGTAAACAACAAAAACGCAAATCTCTGAAAACGATGACGTCATGCACATGCGTATTACGTGTTCAATCTACAGCATTTTTAGTCGTTTTCATGGATCCGTGTGAATGGGGATCGTTTTGCCGAAGGTGTCCTCTGTATGCGGAAAACTCGTTTTAAGCATATCGTTGTCGTGTAAACGTACCCTTAGCTTGTTTTTGGACCCAGAGATTCTGTACTCTTTCAGAAGATGTGTAATAGCGCCCCCTACCGTATAACAGAGAAAACATGAATTGTTGGAAAATTCCGTCAATGGCAGGGAAAGAGTTAATCGGGGATTCATCTAGTCCAAGTGTTTAACATCATAAGATCATCTGTTATCATTTGTTACACTCCTACCAATGGTAACTTGCCAGGACATGTTCTATGTGAACGATAATGTCAGTAACAAAATTTTCCTATTATCGAAGCTCCTTATCTTTGTACAAAAGCACCTTTTAAGTTTTCTGCATGGGCGGACTCTTTAGTTCACTTCCAAACCTTATGTCAAACTTTCCACTTTCCTATTCCACCGGCAACTTGTCCCGACAGGCTACTGTCAGAGACACCTACAAAAGCACACAAAACCATAGGCCCCATTTATCATCATCATCATCTCCTGACAGCTGTTACAGACTCCCTACGGCCCGTCACACACTCACACATTGATTACTCACTGGGCTCTGACACTTTAGGACACATTTTATTTCCAGATAGGACATATACAGTACTTTGATGCACACTGTACGTCACACATCATTACACACAACATATTTACACAATGTTGAATGTAAAGGCTCTTTTCGCAGATTTTACAAGTTGGAAAAACTGTGTTTTTGGTTCCTCTTCATGAGGTGTTATCATTCAAATCTAAAAAAAAATATTTTTGATTCAGATGCATTCTCTTATTATCCAATAGAGGGCAGAATTAGTCCTTTTGTGGTCTTAATGTTATTTTCAGAATGGCCCACTATCATACTACTCTTACCATTTCTGCAGTATTCACTACGTACTGTAATACATTGTGCATATTATGTGAAATTTGTGTATGCATAATATAGAACATGACCTACTGCTTTTGCCAAATTGTGCAGCATACGCACGACTTCCCGTGTAAACTGGTTTTATTTCAGCGGCGCTGTGTAGATATTGAATAGCATATCCCTGGGTGTTCCATTGCCAATCCACTCTGAATGTCATTATTAAGCAATAATTCTTCAACTTAACACATACCAAAATACTTCAGAGCATATCAGTAACCGAGCCACTCTACTATTCACTGCTGAATATAACGAACTGCTTTTTATTTATTTTCTGGGGTGGGGGGGCAAGTTTGGATGTGTTTCTGGTTGTCCTTGTTAAATAATTTGATGCTATCCCTCGTTTGTCATCCTTCTTCAAGAAAAAAGCATGTGAAATGGTTTACACATGTCCCTCGTGGATCCGTATAATCAGGTATACACCTTGTTATTTCCTTCCCTCTCTGTGATTTTGCCTATTTACTTTAATTTTCATCTTCATTTTGATGGGCTTGATTACTCAGGAAACAATTTTGCTTGCCTCCATAATCAAAAAAATCAGAAAAAGGCTTTGATGGTTATTTATGTAGCGCACAGCCTGAATAATCACAAAGCTAAAGTAGGCCACTGATTTTCCCCCGACTCACGTGCCCTCAATCTAGTCAACAGGCCCAAAACACCTCCCCTCCCCGCAGTATTATTAAAATAAAGCACTGCTTTCCAGAACAACACTTATTAATATTAATGTACAAAGAGAACTTGTCCTTGACCTTTCCTTTTGTACAAATCCGTTCAAAAGTTACTGTTTTATCTTTTTTGAAAGAAGTCTCTTATGTTCCAAGGCTGCATTTATTTGATCAAAATAGTTCTATAGTGAAATATTATTACAATTTAAAATAGCTGTTGTGTATTTTAATTTATTTTATAGGGATGCGCGATATATCGGCCAGACGGCCACCATATTGGTATCGGCCGATATATGTCAATCATAAGAAAATGTAATAATTGATTATTTCCTTCAGCTGAGACACTTCAGATGCGCACTGGTTGCTATATATTTATATTTAATGTGCGTAAACTACAGTTTGTATCTCTCATACAGATGCAGCTCATCTGACTCTGTTCAACTTGGTTATAGAAGTTATTTCAGGATAACACACAGGGCACATAAATTGAATTTTACAAAAAAAAAACCCCACCAATTTCACAGTTTATAGTTTTTCACATCTGTGGCAAAGATCTTCTCATTTATCTGTTGTTTGGATCCCCTTCACTGGCTTTTTTCTCTAAACCCACCATGCTCGTCATTAAATTGGGTTTGTTTGTATCACGTCTGCAGATTTGCTGGACTCTGCTGGAAGATTTTGAACTCCATTCCTCTTACTAAAAAAACACCGTATACAATATTTAATAATTGGGCTTGTTTGTATGTGGCTAAATCTTTGGCAGTGTTAGGGGATTTTAAAAGTTTTTGAACTCTCTTAATCAATATTGTAAGGTTTCTAGTCCTATACAGAGTAAAGTACCCATGTTCTGTCAGCCAATGACATTTCTTTGTAATCAGACTTGGATTTGAATGGGGGGTAGAATTGGGCACAACATCTGACATAGCTGTTAGGTTCCATGTAATACAAAAATGTAGAAAGCTAAATGTGATTTACAGTGAGTTCCCACAGTAAAGATCCCTGTGTGTGCTGATGTGGTTGTGTCTATACATGTGTTTAGTGTTGGTGCTACTCTGAAGAGCTTCAGGAATGGAAT